CCTGAAATTGGCCTATGCATGCTGCTGTGCAGGGTTTCCACATACTTGGACACAATACGTCACGCTTGATAACACCTCAATATAGCAACTGGCCAAGAAAATGCAGTCAAGGCGTACTTGGGCTCCAGGCCAACAAGCAAGTTAAGGCTACGCAGCGCTAGTCCCCAAAAGTTGCCTGGCCCGCCTCCACGCCAGGCCACCGCAAATGGCTTCTAGATGCCAATGCGTAGCGACACAAGGGCTCGCGGGAAATGCTTTGGAGGTGTGCCAATACAAGTGTGGAAGACGGACATGGGTTATCGACCCTGGAAATGGTCTCTCTTGTGCCATGTCTTGCTCTGGGGTAACCATTGCCGGTTGAACTCCGGGCAGTTGAGCAACGTCAAAACTCACACATGCACAGACTATCAGAGCTAGCCGTATCTTAGAACACTCTGCTGGATTCAAGACGAAAATCACCTTGAGAACAGCACAGTTTGGAGCGACCAGTCGCGAGGAAGCGGGGCGGCGCAGGCAAGGCATTTTAACATTGTTGTTCTGATTTTTCAACACTAAACACTCATCAAGCACATAGCATCAGCCAAAGCAACTCATGGCACACTGGATTAGGAATGGGGAACGCTGCCTGTTGTCCACGGCAGGCGAGCTGAAACACCAAGGGCAGCTACAAAAGAGTGTGCGCCAAGCTTGCAGCTCCCTTCATTTGGTGGTTGGGATTGGTGGCTTCGTGGTTGAGGAGGGGTTTCCCATGTGCCCTCTACAAAAGCCAGGGCTTCAAATCCCCCAAACCAACCCAAACCACCAGCTAAGGGTCGGTTTGGACACTTCGGGATCCTCTCCTGGACTGAATGTCAAAGCTACAAATAACAAGGGAAGCGACATGTCGAAGGGGCGCCCACGGCACTCTTGCCTTCAGAGTCCGAACGCGCGTGAAGTGAGACTTTTCCTGGGAAGCTGGCATTGTAGCTTGCGTGCCTCAGGTCACAAGGCGCGGAGGAGAAAAAGCCACGGGTGCCTGGTGACTGAACCTGATTCACACGGGAGCATGTTGGCAATTCACATATGGCAATGCTGGATGCAAGAAGGGAACATCAAGTGTTGATGGTTCTGCTTCATCTTCGCAGCCCATGTCTGCTCCATGTCCTACAAGCTTAAAGGGTTTCCTTTTTTCCCTAGTCTTGCCTGACCATCAGATCCACACGGAAAGCGCCGGAAGCGCCATGGGTCGCCGCAAGTTGCCCATGCACTCTGGCCCCAGCAGCACTGATCCCGGCTGCACCGCCTGAGAGGTGGCATGTCTTAGGCTTTGACGTCAGCCCTGCATTGCCCAAAGGCGCACGCATTAATGCTTGTCATGACTCAGCTTAGAATTTCCCGTCCGTCAAAAACCCCTTATCCTCCCAGAACCTAGACACCTATGCACTGTTGGATGTTTTGATTTTGCCGTCAACTTTTGTCAACAAATCAAGCAGTTCCAATGTATGTTCAGGATGCGGACTGGCAGCGTCCCATCTCGAGTGACCCGTGTTGCCCTTTTGCCTGGAAAACAAAGCATCCACCAAGTGCTTGAGATGCAAGGTGGTTCCTCGCTCAGCTAGTCCAATCCGTCAAGACCGACACATGAAAGAGATCACCACTGCTAACTGCCCAAAAAGCACGTGCCTGCGGAGGTTCCAACGCCTGCCCGGGCAATTGACGCGCCACGAAGAACCCTCCCCCAGTTTGGCACAAGCTTGGCAAGCCGCATGGCTGAACATGAGCTGGAGGAAGCTCAGAGGTCACTGCAATTCACTAAACTGAGTCAGAGTTTCCTGAGAGAGACCTTCACGTGAGCTCATAATTAAGCAAATCCATTCAGCAGGATATTGGGTGACATCCAGATGCGCCAAAAGCGCCAAAGGCCCAATTTGACTTGCTAAATCTACCGAGTGCAAGGCAAAGGTTGGACGATGTTGCTTGAAGTTGTAAAGCAAAACGCAAATGGTAACAACGCATGCGTGCCATGAACGGTGTCGGACAAATATTCCATCCAGATATGACTTCCAGCTGCCATGGCCTGATAGGCAAATGGTTAGGATGGTCAGGCGCAAACCAAACAAGTTCATTAGCAGCATGGATGCCAGCCAGTGTGCCTTCTGCACATTGCACACTACTTTGGGTATGCCCAAAACAGGTACGCGGAAGGCATAGCGCGTACTATCCACACCGACCTGGGTGGAAACCCTTGGGACACTCATTGGTGCCCTTCCGGCCTCGATAAGGAAAACCTTTGGTGGAAATTCGCGTCTGATAGTTTCTGCGGTTGGGCCTCGAACACACAAGATTCTCGACCCAGCCTTGGCCATGTTCTCAGTGCAAACGGCGCTGACCTGGGGCCATGTGGGTTGCACTCTTCGGCCGAAATTTCCTAAGAGCGGCAGTGGTGATACTGCCGGGGTGGCGGTATTCCCTCCTCAAATAAGGCAGCAACGATAGTAGTGTTGAATGTGCGGATATCGTGTTTTGTGATGGAATCTGGGGCCTCAACATGCGTCCTTCCGACACTCCTAGAGCCGCTCGGGGTGTCCCCGAGATTCTGCATAACAAGCCCCAGGAACCGTAGGGTAATGGTGATCGTGGCGGCGGTGTGGATAGGGGCCCTTTCTTGAAGACTCTTGGCGGGCCCCTGGCATGGCGTCCTCCGGCGGGCTGCTTTGAGAGTCATGGCTGCAGTTGTTGCGAGCGTCAAAACGGGCGAGATGGCAACAAGTCCAGGATTAGCTGAATTCGCTCAAGCACATGGCCTCTATATTCGCGGTCACGCCTGTGCACTTAGCTTCGAATTCTCACCCACTCGCCAATTTAGGCTTCATACTTGCGACTACAAATTCTGGCACAAGCCCCCCCAGTATGAATCTGTCAAGGTCAAGGTGCTGCCTGCCCCTTTTCTCTTTTGCGGCGCGGCACTCATGCGTGTTGATGCGTTCTGGCCCTCTGCCCGCCGCGGGTGAAACGGAGGCCGTTTGCCACTGGCGCAAACGTAAATCCTCGGCAACCAGTTTGCGGGCAGCGCGCGCACATTCCTCTGGCGGCAACATCCCAACACGATCGTCGAAGCCAAGGCACCGCTGTTCTAGTCGTTGCCCTTTCCGGTCACCGGGTCCTATGTGAGATGCCACAGTGCAGACCAAACCAAAGGACTGCAAATGCGGCTGGGGCATGTTTGGCTTTTCCTTTAGAGGTTGGAATGTATCATGACGGCCTATCCTTCAGCACCTAGGCGTATGGCTGAATGTGGCTCGGGTCCATCAAGTAACCAACACGAACCACACAAACAGGACCTCGTTTTGAAAATGTTGGCAGGGAAAACCCCAAGATCATTTGATGTCTCTCCAATATGCTGCCAGGCTGCGTAGATTTTGCCTCGCAAGAGCGCTTCAATGGTTGAATTGGGGGTGCTGCTGCCACAAGGCTCCCACAATAAAATACATACCTGGACTGCCAAACCTGCTTGGTACTGCAAAAGGTCACAAGCATTGGCCAGCAGCAGCATTAATTCTATACCTGCACAACATGCAGCTAAAAACATATGGGTGTGGGTCAATATTCTGGCGTGGAACGTTCCGCGGTGACGCGGACGTCTGGAACGAGTCAGTTACGTAAGGCTGGTTGTTCCGGACCTCTGGGAAGACATGTGTGGAGTCCTCAAGCACACGTTCATTTAGTGTAAGATGGATAGATGCATGAATGAATGAATGGGTAGATGGATGGATGAAGCGATCAGGGGCGCGCGGCCGTACGATACGGCACCTCCTTGAAGGCTTCTTCGGCGGCATGGCGGGCCGCGTAAGAAGCGTAGCTACTGTGCATGTGGACTTGGTGGCAAATTGCTCCGCTGCGTCTGGAACACGTCTGGAACACGTCTGGAACGGGTCTGGAACGGGGTCTGGAACGGTTACGCGAGTGGCTTGCACTTGGTAGCAAGCTGCATGTAAACATGGTCGTTTCAACAATGTGACGACCGAGAGCGGTATCGAACCGCTACCGTATCGTATCGAACAGATTGCGGCGGGGTTGACCCTTAACATTCACAGGCCGTTCCAAAAACACATCTGTCAACAGGACCGCTGCTTAATTCCATCCAAGCCCCAATGATTACAAGCCACGCAGCCCCAACCACCAAAGCTCGACAAGCAAAACCCATCGTTAGCACCTCAGGCTTCTCTCGAACACCAGCCTTAACGCGTAGCATTTGGCAAAACAAAGGGGGGAGTCAATAACCTACCAAATCACCTTAATTACCGTAAATACTCTAAACTAGACATAAATATATAAACAAGGTCTGGAACGGAAGGTCTGGATCATGCTTCTAGGCAAGGTCTGGAACGGAGGTCTGGAACGGAGGTCTGGATCGCATGTGGGTTCCGGACCCTGTTCCGGACCTTATAAATTGACTCGCAGCCATATAGACAAATATCAGGTCAATATGTCGTACACATGCGCGCGTTGCGCTTAACACATGCCTAACAGCAAGTGTTCAATTTAAACACTGCAGCGACATGGTATGCCCACGCAGCGCAACGAAATCAGCCGCGAAAGCGTGATGGGCATGCAACAGATGCATCCTTGCAGTCAGGAACATGCGCCGCATACAGTAGCAAGCTGAAGCGAAGCCAAAGTGCAACGTAGACAACCCGCTATAAAAGTGCAACTGTTCAGTACAAGCGTAGTGCACGAAGTACGCTTTGGCAGCTCCTGATTGAAAGTCGCAACTTGTCGGTACAAGTGTAGTACGCGCGGAAAAATGTTGGCAGCTCCAGCTCCAAAAGCGCAACTGTTTAGTACGTGTGATTAGTCTTGGCAAATCCCGCTTGCTGCGGCGCGGGCTCCTTTTTGCTAATGAAAACTCGAGGCTCAGCCGGCTACGATCCGTGCGGCAATCGCACATGCAAACGAATGCCACTTTCACACTCCAAATTTTCTCTTTGGAGCTGAGCCGGCATGCAAAAAGCTCAGCACGCTCATGCAAAGGCGGCTGACCGCGTGGCCTTGTCAGTGAGCTTCACGTATGGCTGTTTCAGCCATGCTGCAAATTCCAGCAGAAGTGCCTTGCTGCACTTCGTCAAACCATCTGCCCACATGAGCTCAGTCGGCGTCCAGCGAATGGACTTCTCATTCACAAACTCCTGAATGCTCCGGATGTCCACCATAGTGCGCTTCTCCGAGGTCCGTGGATTCTGGGCGCAAATTGCGTCATAGAGGGACTTGCAGTCCGTGACCTGAAGCTGCGGCAGACGGAAGGTTGTGCGATGGGCAGGTTCTGCCTTGAGGATCTCGGCCAAGGTGATGTTGATGTAGTAGGCCCGGTCCACAGCGTCATTGCATGAGCATGCCTCTGCGGCAAGTGTGCTCCGGCACACTCGGGCTGACCGGTGTGACCGCCAGTCGACCACGTTGCCAGCTGTGATGGTCTCTGTGCACTGAGGGGCTGTGATCATCACGATGCAGCCCTGCTGGGATGCGAACTTCTCGGCGTTCGCCCATGAGCTGTCGGCGTAGCCGATCGACAGTGGCGTCGTTGATCGCAACGTTGCCGAAGGTCAGGCCCTGGTCCGGCGTGTCAAGCGCGTAGTTCAGGGCCTCGTAGAGTAGGGACAGCGAGGCTGACCCATGCGGCCAGCTCGGGGCCTCTGCGATGCCAGCCACTGAAGAGATCCAGTGACGCTCTTGAACTCTGACCTGTCCTGGGCGGTCAGTGGTTCTTCATGGCGGCCACGAAGGATCTTGGTGTCGGGCGAGGGCGTGCTCTTGAGGAACTTGCTCTGGGTGACTTTCAAGACAAAGTCCTTGCCCTTCTTCTGCAGCGTGAACTCCTTGCCTTTGAAGTCCAGCGGTTCGGAAAGCAGAAGCTCTTTCTGGCTGCCCCACTCAAAGAGGTCGGTGAGCTCCGTCTTGTCGTAGTCCTGGGCGCAGGTGACAAGGAAGTCGTCCACGTACACTATCATCATGCAGCAAAGTTCCGAGCGACCATTGCGCTGCCGGTGCTTGTAGAACATCATCCGGTCGAGCGCATGTTGTCGGTACCCGGACAAGTCGCCGTGTCACTTCGCGGGTCCATGTGCGAGGAGCCGAAGCCAGCCCATAGATGTTCCCCTTCACACGATAGAGGGGGCATTGAAAGATCCCTGCCAGGCGGCACGCCTCATCCTGAGGCGGTCGCAGAAACAGATCGGCCGGGCGTTCACGAGGCTCTGGTTCTCCCTGCAAGAACGCCGTGCTGGCGTCACCGCTCCACAAGAGCCACTTGGTGGGCGAGTTCTGCAACTGGCCGTTGACACCGGCGGCGTACACCGCGAGGAGGACGTACTCTGAAGGTCGGGGTCGAGGTGTCCAAGGGCCACCACTCTGGCTTTGGCAACCAGCTTGTCGGGTAGCTTGCTCTTGTTGCGGAAGCAAGCTCGGCTCCTAAGGATTCTCGTCCTCATCCCGGGGTCGGCCATGATCTTCTTGGCCTCCGCGTGTCCGACGGGCTCGACTGAACCCCATGTCTGCCAGGCGCGCTCTTCCTTGCGTGCCGCCTCCACGTACTGCTGCAGCTGGTCGGCGGGGAGCTGCATGACCTTTCTCCAGGGGATCTCCCGCTCCAGGGCTTTGGACTCCTTGCGGGTCATGAAGCGCTTGGTTGGTTCTTTGGCCTCATCTCCCGAAGAGTCGTCGTTGTCGGTGTCCTGGCCACCCATGAGGTCTGCCTTGAGGACGTCGTACTCCTCTTGGTTGAGGATCTCCGCAGCGTACTTGGCGTGAAGGGTGCAGTGCCATGGCGTGTGCCGTGCCAGATCTTCACTGCCGTCCCACGAGGCAGGTGGTGGTTCAAGGCTGCCGTGAATCTCATGCAGCATAGCCTCGTGCGTGCGCTTGAAGGGCAGCGCGGGCAGTGAGTCGGTGTGTTCCATCGCGGCCGTGTGATGGGACGTGCTTGAGGTTGGGTCGCGATCGCCGGTGAGGTCGATCAGTTGGTCTGGTGTGTCTGCCAGTCCAGGTGGTGTCGTTGGTGCTGTGCTCCGATGAGGTCCAGTAGTGGTGTGACCTCACCTTCAGGCTGTGCGTTGGGTTGCCTGAGTCGTGGTATGTCGTGTGATGCTCGTGCTGTGCTAGCGTTGCTTCGTGGTGTGGTCGCTGGTGCTGCTGTTGGCGGTAGTGCGGGGTGTAGTTGCACAGGTGGGCCTCTTGGTGAGGCCAATGCAGTGGCTGTGTTGCTAGCCGTAACAGTAGCTCCGGGGTCTGCCGTTGGCAGGGCAGATGCCGGTGGTTGTTCCTGGTTTGCTTGTTGTAGTGCTCGGCTCGGTGTGCGTGAGCGTCCGCGCGGTAGGCGCAGTGTTGGTGCTGCCTGTTGCTTTGTGCCACGAGGTAGGCCATGGTAGTGGTGCTCAGTGAAGGTTGGTGAGTTGAGGATCACGCCTTCTTGTCGATGTTCCTCCTGGTGGTGGTGCTGTTGTACGGTCGGTGGTAGTGTTGGTGGGTCGTGAGGTTGAGAGGGTTGTGAAGGTGCTGGTTGTGGTGGTGGTGCAAGTGGTAGGACTTCAGTGGGCTCGAACTGGTAGTCGTAGCTGTCCTCGTCTGGCGGTGGTGCACCAGATCTGTGGTCCTCCCACATGTCTTGGCGAATGTTCTTCGCGGCGTCGTGGAGGATCTTGACGTCCTCCTGGCTGGGTGTCCATGACTCGAAGCCGCTGGTGGAGCGAATTTGCTCTATGCTCACCTGGGTCGTGGTGCTGCCGACGTGGACCCATGCAGATTTGTTGTCCGGGTCGTAGGAGAGGAAGCGTGCCATGACCCATCCTCCTCTTTTTCTAGTGGTTCGCCCGCGGGGGTTTTGCCACCTCCAGTAGGCGCAGGTCTGGCCGGGCTCGAGGTCGCGAGGGACCGTAGTGGCCGTCTTCCTGAGCAAAGCCCGTTGCAAAGCACTGGATGTGTTGATCTCTGCCAGTGCCTTGACTGCTGCCGCCCTCAGGATCTCCGGCCGGGTGAAGTTGTCGGTCTTCTCCGGCTGGTAACAAATGCTTCTGTCATCTTGAAGCAATCCTCCAGGAACGCGAGGAATCTGGCCGAAGACGGCCATGTACGCAGGCCTGCCGTGGCTGTAGGTGAAGCTGTTGATGGCGTGGGCCGCCGCGTCCACGGCAAGGTCGAGCCCTGCGGCATCGGTGATGGCCTGGGAGTCGATGATCCGCTCCAAGGTGTCCCGCAGGATGCTGTTCCGGCGCTCGATCAAACCAAGCCTCCAGTGAGCCTCAGCCGGGATGACCTGGATGTAGACGCCGTTGGCCTGCATGTAGTCGCGAAAGTGACCTCCAAAATTGCCACCCTGATCAATGCGCAGGTTATATGGGTAGCCGTAAGGCTTACACCACAGCCACCAGAAGGCCTCGCTGGTGGTCTCCGGGTAGAAGTCAGGCAGCCGTTGCGCTTGATGTAGCAAGGTGGAGTGGTCGATGATCCCGAGGATGGGAAAGTTGGTGCCGGTCAGGTCTCGGCACCAGAAAACATCTGCTTGGAGGAAATCGTGGAACTGGCCAACGTTGTTGGGCATAGTCGTCGGTCGTGGTCGTGGGATTCTCTTGAGGCGATGGCAACTGCCGCAGTGGATGTGCTTGACCGCAGTGATCATGAGTTCAGATGCGGCGCCTTGCCATGCAAGGAGTCTGATGAGCTCCTTCTCCGTGGGGTGCCCCAAGTTCAAATGTAGTCTTGCCACCGCTGACCTGGTTTCTCTGGTCACGTTGGCAGGGCAGTTCGGGAAGCTGACCTCGTGGACGGGTTGTGCTGGTAGATCTTCTTTGTCGAAGCTCTTCGAGTTTGGGCATGCGGTTCTTCCCGACGTAGTTGAGGTTCTCGTTGAAGATGCTCCATGAGGTGCATTTCACTCCAGCGAGAAACACCAACGGGCGAAGAAGCTGCTGTGCCTTGCGAAGAGCTCGTTGCTCTTGAGGTTCAAGTAGGTTCTGCCCAAACCGAAGGTCGAATGGTTGTGATGCTCTGAGGTTGTACCGGGGCGCCAAGTAAGAAACTTCGGCGCTTCCTTCGAAGGCCTCCATGACGTCCACCAAGTTGCCGTTGGTGAACTGGGGCTTGATGCCATCGTAGATCTTCCTCTCGACCGCGAGCACCTGTGCTTGGCGGTTCATGTTGCCGGTCAGACGTTTTCCCAATCGTAGTCGCTGTCCGACGTCTCCTCCGTCTGGGGCTGGTCGTCGTGGGTCCATGACATCTCGCTGGGTGCTGCTGGTTCCAGAAGTCTGAAGGTGTCCAGGTGGTCGTTGTAGCCAGTCGGGCGGCTCGTAGGTTTCGCCTTGGTCTTGGCCTTGGCCTTGGAGGTTGAACCACGGGCTGGCTGTCTGTCCATGATTGGTCGGTGCTTTGGGGTTCTGCCACGAGCTGTCCAAGACATTGGCTGACGAAGGCAGTGGCAGCCGTGAGGAACGCGATCGTTCGACGAAGAGTTCCCACCCGTTCTGCTGGTCGTTCCACCTCCATTTGATGCCGCACTGCTGGCACTTCGCGAAGCGACCGTGTCGGTTGCCGTGCCTGACCATGTACTGATGGGGGCATGTCGAGCTCGTAGGTGTGGCCACCGATGTGATCCGCGTCGTTGTAGGTTGTCCCGTGGCCACCGAAGTGCTTGATGTCGCCGTAGTGGTGACCTTCTCGATCTGGGCCAGGCTGACTCCTCGAAGGAAGCGTTGGGCTTGACGTGCCCACGTGAGGGTCCGTGAGACCATGTGCCTCCATCGTCGCAGCCATGAGGGCGGCGACCGGCGATGCATGCTCGGATGGAGGGTTACGGCCTAGTGTTTGGCTTGAAGCCTGGCGTTCAACGACATGCACCTCATCCGTGATCAATCCGGCACGTGCATCACTTGCAAGGCTGTCACAACTGTCTTTCCATGCGCAAACCAACTTGGGGTGCTTGTTGAACTCTGCAATGGAAACAGCAATGTGACCATTGACCATGTGCAACGGGGTCGTTGTGCAAATGGTTTCAAACCTGACGGTCATGTTGGCCAAATCGATGGTGGTGCCCAAGGTGGTCATGAGGGGTCGGCTTGCAAGCAAGGGAATCTTGGTGGGCAGTGAGTTGGCCCCGATCATGCAAAGGGTACCTCCCAAAGTGGCCGGAATGTAGTGCTTGGTGTCCAAGATGATGGGGTCACCGTTGCCGAACTCAAACGTTTCCCGCCCAGGCACCTGAAGAGTGTCGATGCCATAGGACTTGAGCTTGGTGGTCTGGGCCTGCAGCCAAAGGTCGCCCACACATGTGCATTGGCAGGCAGTGTCCAGGACCATGTAACCCGCTAACTTTGAGGAGTCTGCAAGCAAGACTTCGGGGTGGAAGTTCTTGAGGTGATGGGTTACGTAGGTCTGGTGGGACATCTGGGAGTAGTTGTAGGGGTGCTCAGGGTCCGCCTCCGCTTGGTAACCAAAGTGATGGTCTATGAAATGAACTGCTCGAGGGGGTCTGTCGGAGTCGTTGCCCTTGTCGTGGTCCCCCTTAGGCTTATCTCCCTTGGGGTACTTGCCTTTGCCCTTGCCGCCGGACGATGTTTTCCGCGAAGAGGCAGGACAAATGTCGTCCCCTTTCCAGTGGCCTTGTTGGCCGCATGTGCACAGTGGGAAGCCTTCTTCCGGTCCTCTATGGACCGACGCGGATGGCCCGTGAACTTCCGGCCCTGCACCATTGCGCTGAGCTTGCGGGCGGTGACAGTGAGAACCTCGGCCATCTGCTGAGGATCAAAATCGTCGAAGTCGCCGGCATCAGCTTCTTCATCATTCTCGGCTGGCTCGTCCGGGTAATCGGACTTGTCGTTGGGGTCTTCCGCGCCATCGTCCTCGCCCCCTCCGCGATGATCGGCGTGTCGCCGTAGGGCTTGTCGTTCGTGTAGTTGTCCGTGCCGGTGATGGTGTCCGTGACCCACGTCTGGTGGTAGGATTTGCCATTCTTATCCTTGCCTTTGCCACCGCGGCCTTTGCCAGGGCCCGATGGCTTCCGCCAGCCGCCTTTGCCCCAGAATGGAGCGCCTGTGTTGTTCTGCTGCTGGTTGTGCTGGCCGTAGTGGTAGGTCTGAGGGTGTCCTTCACCTTCTCGTACTCCAGGCTCTGGCCCGTGCCGATGAGGACGTGTCGCTGCACCTCCGGTGGCAGTCTTGACCTGTCCAGCAGCCGGGATCCCCGTGCCTCGCCGTCATACATGGCGGACACCTGAATCCCCAGGGTCTCAAGGGCTCGTTCGGTACGCCGGTACCGATTCACGTAGGAGTGCATGCTCTCCTGGTTCACCCTCTGGACGTGCTCGTAGTCGTTCAGCAGCTTGCGCTTAAGTGAACAGATCTGGCCTCAACCGCCTGCTGCACTGTCTGCAGCATGAACTCCACGCCATTGGGTGGTAGATGCGGTTGACGTCGGCGTCTTCCAGCTCTTCCTCCAGCTCGCCCTTCAAGGAGTTGTACAAGAGCAAAGCCTCCTTCCTGGGCACGTAGCTGATGATCTGGAGCATCCAGATCTCGACCTTCTTCTTCCACTTGCCGAAAGCTCGAAGGTCGGCGCGGTCATAGTGCCAGGATGGAGCTTGCGGCGGGGCGCCTCCTCGGTACTTCACGCCGGGTGTCGGCCCCTTAATTAGCTGAGTTCCAGTCGGAGTCTGACACCTTGCGCTTGGTGAGGCCGTCTGGAAGGCCGCCGGTCTGCTTGGCGGTGTCGCGCAGTGATTGGGCTCGTAGTGCAGGCGTGTGGGGTGTGCCTTGCGGCTGTATCTTGTTCTTCCTCCGGCGTCTGCGTGCTGGCTGCCGGTCAGCAGGATCCACAACCGGGTCATCGGTGGGCGTCTCGCTCTTGCCGCGCTCCTGGTAGTCCAAACCGGGAGGTCCGGGTGGTCCGCCTCCAGCTTGCCATGGCCGAGAGGCCGGGTCTCCATGTCCGCCTCCAGGATGCCAGGGAACATCATGATGTCCACGTTGGTCGCTGCCTCGTGGGCGCTCATCATGAGGTTGTCCCTGATCGTCGCCTCCTGCAGGAACATAGATCCACACGCCATCATCGGTCTCTCTCCTGGTGGGCTCCGTGGCGATGTAGAAGCTGGCATCACCACATGAGCTGCATATCCAACCGTGCTCAGCGCGCTCGAAGTAGGACGAGTGGCAAGCCACGCATCGCCAGCGATCGTCCTTGTCCATGGCATAGTTCCGATGGCGCGAGCTCGGTGGAGCAGGCCGGGTCGGCGAGCTGCCAGTGCGCGCAGGCTGCACAGGCTCCTCAACCGTGGCATCCGGCCTGAAGGGCCCATCAGCGACCGGCTCATCGAAGTCGTGCTCGGTGCCGTCGCTGGTGCCATCATCGGCTTTCCGCTCCATGAAGAGGCGCGGAATGGCCGGCGTGGCGTGCCCTGGGAAACGAGAGCTCAAGGCTCCGCTGCCAACTTGGCAAATCCCGCTTGCTGCGGCGCGGGCTCCTTTTTGCTAATGAAAACTCGAGGCTCAGCCGGCTACGATCCGTGCGGCAATCGCACATGCAAACGAATGCCACTTTCACAATTAGTACACGAAGTATCACGAAGTATCACGAAGTGCGCTTTGACACCTCCAGTTCGGCAATGGCAGCTGTGCAGCCGTTACACTCACAAAACGTGTAAATGTGAGGAAAGAAAGGCCTGCAAAAGCAACTTCTTCGCAACACGTTATCTTTGGATTTTGTTCAGCTACCAAGTCCAAGTCTGGCCTGTTTGCCACCCAACAAGCTGTGTTTCAAAGTTTGTTTAATATCCTTATCGTTCTGCAGTGAGATGTTGCAGTTTTGGACACAAGGGACCGCCCAATACTAAATTTAACAAACCGGGTTTTAGTAGAACTTCAAGTTGTTTCTTGCACCTTGGCCATCCGAGCGCGAATCCAGACAGTAGAACACATCGGTCTGGGCCAGGGTGCGACCAATGCAACTGGCCACAGCATTGCTGTTCACAAGCTTGACAACAATTCATATCAAAAGCTTCCACGCTATGGGCAAGCCAACACGGCTCGCCCAGAACGAGATCGAAACCTGACCCCTCCCTGCAGCCCAAGCTGCCCTTGTAGGGGTCCACGGCCACGCCTACACATTTCCCCCACCCTGGTGTCAAACAAATGGGTGTTTAATGCATTCATCATTAACCGACCAATCACAGCAAGATGGTAGCAGAGCTTTTGCATCAACGCCATCACAGGTTTCTGGAACTTGGGTGTGGCTGTGGTCAGCCTGCAGCCGTGAACCAACACCAAACAAACAAATTGATTGCACTTCAGGCAGCTTTGTTCTGGAACGAGCAGCCCTTCACCAGTCGAAGCATGAGGACCTCCAAAAGAAAGCAACACGTTAAAAGGATTCTGAACACAAACGCAGTCATGCGGCGTCTTTGCCACTTATTGCAGTCCTTCACAGCACCTGGAAGTAAGCAATTTCTATGTGCCTAACGGCCAAGCTATCCTAACGAACAAGCTATCTGAGATCAACAAGGTGTTTTAAGGTAAAAACAACTTCTGACTCTGCTGGCAGGCGCCGGATGGGTGGTTCAAACAACTTCTAGATCGAGAGAGGACCGGCCGAAAGCCGGCACCGTTTGCCGGCAGGGCCTGTGGCGTCATCAACATAGCTGCCATCTTCAAGCATTTCTCCAGTCGCCGGGTCAATTTCCTCACCACTCTTGCCGTCCAGAATGTGACCTCAAATAGTCCAAGCTTGGAGCACACAATCCGAAAATGCCCAGGGGGCCTGCCGCATCCCTGCAGCAATGCGGCAAATACGTTCGATGAGGCGTGCAATCAGGCTAAACCAACGCTGTTCATTCATGACGCACGTCGCACGCGCGTGGCGCCAATGAAATCCAATGAAACTGCGTGACGCACAGGCAACATGGGCGTGTGGCTTTGCGTATTTGTCAAAAGGAATCCCGTGTTGACGCCATGCATGAGACAGTGACAAACCATTCATTAAACAACCAGAGTGGCAGAGCGTGATGGCAGGCAGCTTCTGAACATGTCGCCAAGACATGGGAAAACAAACTCCCCTTCTATGCCAATTCGTGCAACAACAAGTCATGCCCGTTACTCCGACATCGTGTCGTGACACATTGCGGGACTGTCGTTTTTGCGCACTTGCAACACGTCGGGCTCCAACCGGTCTTTATGGAACGAATGGCCGCCTTTATCGCTTAGCAGCCAAACCACTCAGTAGATCTTAGCAGGCTTCCAGAAAGATTCCCAAAGTGGGCGTCCGAATGAGACGCAGGAAGGGAAAAGTTGACCAACAAATCAGGCCTTCTGGTATACAATGCCGCTGTTGCTCAACTGCTAGGACAACTTGACAGCAAACCCAGCAACAATATACCAGTAGAGCTGGCGAAGCCAGTGGGCGGACGTTTCAACATTGTGAGAGTTGCAAGCCTACATATGTTGAGGTGGCTTTTCTCAACATAGCTGTCCAACCGTGGCTCGTCGTCTTATATAACTTATGTATGTATCTTATCTATCTGCAGGGATATCTTCAAATCCTTCCAAATTGAAAGCGAACTTGGCGTCCTGGAGCTGCAGGTGATGCTCGAGCTTGAGCTAGAGAAGTGTACTTTGCCTACTGCTTTCGTACTTGAGATTTGTAAACCTTGCGGAAGCGCTGCACTTGCCACGGAATCTGTACCGGACCTCGGGGAACTGCTGCGCCTAGGCTCCGCTCCAAACGCGCTCCAGTTCCAGGCGTCGCGACCCCGCTAGCTTTCGAGCATCCCCTTTTCTCGCGCGTGCTTCTGAGAGCCAGCCTGAGCTGGCTTTCAATTAGTGGCTGTAGCACGGATGTTCCTTCAAGACTTGCTTTGAGAAGGCGTCCTTCCCAAGGACAAAGGGGTCTCCTAGGAGACCCCACAGGCCCATGGGCAAAGGCGTCATTTCCCTTGACCCCCTTACCATCCAAGCAGCCAGTGTCAGGATCCACGATCACCTGGCCCGGATTGGCACAAATAGGCATGGCAACATATGTGATGTGGGTAGAACACGTACCGGATGACAGCACACACACAAATGACAGTGAAACTAAAAATGACACACGCGCATTGCCAGCGAGAAGCATCTTCCAGAGGGTCCTCCTTCTTTTCCTTTCCTTCTTCGGCATGCTCACCTTCCTTCCCTTCATGCTCGTGTTCACCATGTTCACCTTCCTTTTCTTTGTGCAATGCTGCCATGGCGGGATCTCCGGCATGTTCTCCCTCTGCCGCGTGCTCCCCTTCCTTGTGCTCAAGCCCTGCCATGGCCGGATCTCCGGCATGTTCTCCCTCGTGCTCAACCCCTGCCATGGCGGGATCTCCAGCATGTTCTCCCTCTGCCTTGTGCTCACCTTCCTTGTGCTCAACCCCTGCCATGGCGGGATCTCCAGCATGTTCTCCCTCTGCCTTGTGCTCACCTACCTTGTGCTCAACCCCTGCCATGGCGGGATCTCCAGCATGTTCGCCCTCTGCCTTGTGCTCCCCTTCCTTTGCGAGTTTCAGAATCCCTGCCAACATCAAAGCAAAACCTCACATTCACACAAACACTGACACTCACACCTGCTTCACACACGCACACACACACACAACCCACACGCCCTTGTTGAAGCTTTCAAAAATCACGGAATACTGTGACAACCACATGTCGTCCCAAAATCCAACCCTCCTGCAAAAGCAGGATACATTCACGTAGCAGAACCAGAATGCAAGCACAGCTTCCGACGCCGCCATTTTATTGGGGCTGTATTCCTCTTCTTCTGTATGCGTAGCCGGATCCTTCATGGTCGGGTCCTCCCCATGCTCGTGCTCCCCATTCTCCTGCACTCCGACGTGTTGCTGATGGGAACTTGGGGGACTGACGAGTTCGAAAGACAGCCATCAGCATCCTCTACCCATCTTCTGACACTCGACCGGGCAAGATGCATCGTCGTTCAGAGGATGTTCAGAGGCTGCTTTCCAAGAAGGAACATGCTCTCCACACATCGTTCCAGCAAGTTATATCCCAACATTCATAATGATTCTCAAGCACATGGAGCTACGCATCTGTTGCTTGTGGCTGACTTCTCATACGTCCCAGCGCAGCGAGCGAATCGCGTGCCCCCCCTGTCAGTCCTCATGTTTTTTGTCGTCGTGAAGCTTGGCAGCATCATATTCCCCTTCATCTGCCCACTTCGCTGCGTCGTCATCGCCGTGCTTGTGCTCCTGGTGGGCTGATCCGTTGCGTCTGGGCTGAAAGTCCTCTAGGCGTGCATTCTCAGGAAACCATGCAACAAAAACAAGCCATGGAAGAATTCATGTCCAGCTCATGCTCTATAAATGACATGCCTCTAGGATGAGCCTTGGATATGTCCCCCTTTGTGTGATTCTGACTCTGAACAGAGAAAGTGGCGTGGCGTGGCGTGGCGTATACTTCTTGTGAGTCCTGTCCTCGTGACTCTTGCCTTTATGAAGCTTTTCTTCATCGTAGTCGCCTACAGGGCAAGAACACTCTAGAGAGAGTTCGCCTGGAAATGTTCCAGGGAACCTTCCGCCGTGGTGGTCCTTCTCCAACTGAACAAGGGAAGTCCAACATCTCCGCAGTGCCTTTACACTGAAAGCCACACAAGGCTGGAACATGCAATAACAAGCAGTGAACTCACCGCAAGCACAGAAAGGGAACAAAAGGGCAGCAGGGGCCAACAGTCACTGACGAGCAGCCATGAAGGGCCCGGCATGCAACATAGCATGCTGGTCATTGGTACGCACATGCAATTCGCTGAAAGCACAAAAGGTTGCCGTGATCAAGGGGTAAGGGCCAGCACAGCCTGAACTTGTAAAGCTTGTTTCTAGACAGTACCATTTCCAACCAATCACCAGCAAGCTGTAGTCTCACTGCCAGCTGTTCACCCGTGCAGTGGAGCAAACCAGAATGCGTTCACCACAGCCCATAGCTACCCGGCTACCCGTGCCTTCTGAGAAGCCAGTGCGAGCTGCGAGCCCACCTCGGGGCTCTAAGGTGCCGTAAGTGCGTTAAACCACGGCCCGCGAACCCGGCATCTCTGATCTGGCTACAAGTCATTCGAACTGCGGCCCGGGTTGTAAGAAACACCCGCTCTGTGAAAGCCTCGCATGTCCCAGAAACGCCACGATGAGACTACTACATGCCCAAAGTCGCATTTGTCCAAGCGGAATCGGAGGCTTCAACTGGGGTGTGTCAAACCCTGTTGGCGCCAGATTGCGAACCTCTTGGAAAGCATAATGTGTCGGTGAACACAGTCCCTTGGATACTATCCATGCCTTGCCGAGGGTGGTTCGAAAGGTGGCACGCAGCCACCATGCGGGCTGCGCTTAGCACATTGGCAGCCCAGGCTCGGCTCTTGGTGGCACAACTTCAAATGAAGTGACGTGCCTGCCCTGTTGCTGGCGCCTTCTGACAGTTGTCCAATGAGATGTGGTCCGTCCATCAATGGTGGGAACTGTTGATTGCCGGGTGCGTAGAATCGCTTTCCCTACCGCAAGCCGAGACACCCTTGTGGAATGCCCTTTTTGCCCTTCTTGCCAGCAAGGAGGTTGAAGAAGCAGCATCGCCGGTGCTGGTGTCTCCTGCCCACTTGTTCAGGTCCTGCAAGCCCGCAGAAAAATGGTGTGCGGCAAAAAGGCGCGCTGAAAAGCTAGTGACACAGGCATGCAACCATCCAGGCTCGAACGGACCAAAAGGCCCTGGGTCGTATGTGCAGGGCGGCCTAACACCAACAAGCAAGTATCAGCGAGTATCAGAACGCTGCCAGAACGCTGGCTGGGTATGCACGGTTCAAAGTCACAAGAGCAGCTTCGTCCATGAGCTATTTGAAGATCCATCATGAACAGTAAAGCATGGATGGGATTACCCGGAAATCCAATTCATGTTCGGCCCCCAATTGGAAAAGAATCCTCTATTGTGGCATTTGTTTTCGCAACTCAGGATTCTGTGACTGTGTTGGGTTCCTCAATAGTGGCATTTTTCCCCCTGCCCAAAAATATATATACATATATTTACACATTATAAGCAACTGGACTTATTTACTCTCCTGATCTGGTCTGGCTCAGGCTAACTAAAGGCCTGAGATCTATGAAATAGTTCTTGCAAGTTGTTCCCAAATCATCAAATTTAAGATAACGTATTTACAAAAAAGTGAGGCCAATCAATCACACAAAGGGGGGTGCCCACAAGATTCCCCGATCCTCTTTAGTGGCTGAAATTTGCAATACTAAAGTAGTAAAGTAAGCACTGGGAATCTGAGAGGGGGCCGTGGCAATATTAAAGTAGAATGGGCAATTCTGAAGCAAGCACTGGGAATCTGAGAGGGGGCCGTGGCAATACTAAAGTAGAATGGGCAATTCTGAAGCAAGCACTGGGAATCTGAGAGGGGGCCGTGGCAATACTAAAGTAGAATGGGCAATTCTGAAGCAAGCACTGGGAATCTGAGAGGGGGCCGTGGCAATACTAAAGTAGAATGGGCAATTCTGAAGCAAGCACTGGGAATCTGAGAGGGGGCCGTGGCAATACTAAAGTAGAATGGGCAATTCTGAAGCAAGCACTGGGAATCTGAGAGGGGGCCGTGGCAATACTAAAGTAGAATTGGCAATTCTGAAGCAAGCACTGGGAATCTGAGAGGGGGCCTTGGCAATCCTAAGTATGTACTGGACCCCCAGGATGTTCTCTAAAGAGGGCCCAGCTGACTGTTCCCACTGTTGTTGGGGGGGGGGGGTCGTGTAAAGAGGGTCCAACATTAATGTCTTCTGCAAGGCTGGCGGACGACAGTTGCAACGAATGGCTTATCTTGTTCTCGCCCCTTTTCGTTTGTTATCATTATTCTTTGGATTGTGATGCATGTGTCGGTGGCTTCCAAATGAAAGCTACAACAACTTGTGCTTGTACCCTATGCAATCACAACTGGCAATTTAGAATCCGTTACACGCACGCATTTACTTGCAAGCTTTGTTTGGAGCGGGGATCTAGTTCTATTGGAACTACTTGGGGGGTCAAAATTAGGCTCCTTTCTGGCATCGCCTTCAACAGGCAACACAAGTGTCCCTTGAGGGGAGGCATATCATCCTAGGCAACCCCCCAAGCACGATGGCCATACCGGCCATGTCGCCTCGGACTTGGCGCCAAGGGCTTGCAGGTACCTGGCCGACACCTCCGCCGCCTTCACCAAGGCCGCAGGGGGCGCGGCAGTTGGCAGGGCGCCCAAGGCGGCGAGGTCTGGGGATCGGTTGCCCTCAGCGTCCATGAACTCGAAGGAGGCGCGACATCCTGAGTGCTCGAAGGGGCTACTTGGGCCACTTGTGTGGATCCCAAGGCCCACGGATATAGAAATGTTCCAAAGGCACTTCTACAGGCGGAAAGGACCCAATACTCAATTCTCCACTGTGGTGTGGTCATTGTGCCTTCCGCACATGCACGACTTCAGAAAGAGCTTGCTTCACTTGAAGGCTTTGCTGAGGGCGACTGAATGACTGAATGAACAAAGGAGCGGGGCACCGACATATATGCAAAACAACACGTGGAAACGTAGCATCCGCTTCTTCCTCCCCTCCTCCTCCTTAGTGACTTCCAGGCAACGGGTCCCAAGCTTGCGCCCGGTGAAGAGGAAGCTGCTCAGTGCGCTGCTGCTGCTCGGCGCGCCGAAAACTGGGGCCTGCAAGGGCCCCATGGAATTCTGAACGAGTGCCTAAAGGTTGCCTGGCTGGACCCAAAGCTTGAGCCGCCATGAGGGAAACCCTGGATTGTCCTAGTTTGATGCCCTCGCTGTCTGCTACACAACCCGCACCATTCGAAATATGCAAGCCTGAAACAAAGGACACTTCCGAACGATTGCCAGAACATGGGTAGGTCCAAAAGCAGTTTTTGGCAACACTTCTTTGCACCTCCTGGAAGCCATCCAGCAACGACGCATGCAGCTTTGCCATGGCCGGCCGCAGGATGCACTTGTGCAGGAATGGAGCAGTGGGCACCTCCTGTTGCATGAACACATGACGGACCGGCTTAGCCTAGCACCTTGCTTCAGTGGCGCTAACAGATAGTACGCAGCCATTGCATGGATGTCTTTGGTGCTGCAAGCTCAATGCAGTAAGAGGCCAAACGCTGTACGCAGCAACCTAGAATAACTGAGCCGCGCAGTGCCGGCTACACCAAAAGCCAAAAGCCCATGACTCATGCCAATCGACTTTGTCCATGCAACGCGAAGGCTCAAGCAAAGCCTTGAGCCGAGGCCGATGACCAGTCAAATTGCGGGCACAGGGTGCCACAAGTGGCTCCGGGGGTTGAATGAGGGGTTGTAGCAGGTGCGTGTTAGGAAGTGCCCTCCAAGATTAACGAAAGCATCCCGGCTTCACTGGTAACATGGAATGGTGTCTCAGGGCAGGGTCTTTTCTCTCTCTCTCTCTCTTTCTTTAGCTCTCCCTGGGAACAAATATATGATCAATTACCATTCTGCTTGTAAACTGCACAAATGCGGTGCTGTCTAAAGCTGTCGGCATATGGCAGAATTGACGTACTGCAATACAGTCTGTACATTGCATGGGCGTACGGAAATGGGCGCAAGCAAAATGATCTCCACAAGGGATGCAAATCCTCGGCTTTTACACCCAACTCAATAGCTCTATTGGCTCGAGCCGCTTTTCATTACGCAAGAGTTCGCTTAGGGCGGGAGATCCTTGTCTCTGAGCAGAGGTGACAACTGATCTTCGGGGATGCCGTTGCCGTAGAGCTCCACGCTCCTCCGCATTTCACCCTGCCTGAACTTCCAAGGAGCATGCCGGTCACTTTCAAACGGACATCTGGGAGAATGCATGTCAGGATTTTGAGTGTCCCCTTTCACTAGACGAGGCGGCAGGGCTTTCTTAGTCTATGGTTCCTACCTGCAATTGCAACGCAAAGGGTCTTTTGCCACTGCTATTGCCCAGAAAGTGTTCTTCCAAGCTTTTCCTCAAGGATGCCTTTGGTTCCCATCCTCCCCCCAGCCCTCCTCTTCATGGTGGAAACGGCAAGGGCCATGTCCTCCACCTGCACAGAGAACCCTGGCCCCCTTTCACCACCGCCCCACACAGGGCCCTGATGCTTGTGACTCTGTGGTAAGAACGGCCTCCCTCGCTGGCGAACTATCCAAGACCTGCTTCAGAGGACGGGATTGTGTCAACGCACGCCATATTCCGAGGTCTTATTCTGCAAGAAAAGCGGAACGCAGCCAGAGAAACTGGCAGCATGCAGCAAACAACATACTGACAGCTGGACTCACTGGATGGAAACGGCCATCAGCTGGAGGAACCGTATGGTTGCTGTTATTTGACCCTAAGGTGATCAAACCTAGAGGGCTTTCCCTCGAGAAATGCCACCTTGCTTGAGCATGTGTCGACATTGGGGGAGCGCGAAAACGTGTGGTTTACTGCTTGCCCTTCAAGCAACATTGAAAACTACCAAAAAAGGCATGCTCGTAAAGACAAAACCACTTCTCACTTGGTCAAGCTTGCCCTGCCCCAGTCTGTTGACCGGGAAGGCAGTCATGAAAGACATCTTGGCCAGCCTTTTCGTGATAAAAACAAATTGGACCATCCCTATGACTCGTCACTTTCAAGCTTGGTACCACAGAAGCAGGCACTAAAACCCAATTTTCCCGCAACCATGCGACAGTAAACGTTTCAAAGCATCACAGCTTTACAATCCTTACAGAGAGACAGTCCGCATTGCACCTTGTACACGCCAGTGCCGGAGACAATCATGTTGGCGCCGGCCTGGCAAGCTGAACATGGAAGCTGGCCAAACACCCGCCTTGAATGGGACAATCCGTGTCCTAGAGCTCCCACTCTCAACTCGCCTATGCCCATGAGAACGACGCAGCGCTGCCTTTTTGGAATCTAACAACGAAATAGTCATTCAATGGGCAGCCAACTCCCAACGACAGCAGCACAACCCGTCCCACCGCTCTGCGACTAGGTACATCAGGCATGAGGGCACAACACAAAAGTATCATATCGCCAGCTTTGCACTCATTTTCCCAATGGCTAAATGACCCAAGCAAGGGCGAAGCAACTTATCACTTCATTTGACAACAAACAGCGCGCTTCTGATGACACTCCAGTGTCCATCCTGCAAGTACACCTCCATCACAAGAGAGAAAACTAGCAGCTCTCCTCTTCAGCCATCTTCCTCCAACTGGCTTTGTTGTCAATTGCTGACACAGAATTACTTGTTGACCTTGTTTGACCCTTGCACCCACCAAGCTGACCCCGAACGGAGGGGTTGTGGAAGGACACGCGGAGTTCCATACTAGTCGCTTGAAGGGCAAATTGGATATAGGCTGATTAACATGTTGGTCGCCTACAGTACTGGTACGCGATGCTCCTGCCCAAATGCACGGTTGGTCAAGTACACGGTTGCAACTGAGCAAGCCAAGCAAGACAATTCAAGAGCAGCTACGACATGCTGAGACAAGTAACACATCCTGCATGGTCGTTGCGAGTGGTCATGCCCTTGTTCGCAAATGCAAACAAGGACTCGCGCAACAACTTACCAGCCTTACCTCTTACTCCGTCTCTACCTTCCCCTCCAACGCCGCAACGCTTCACTGTGTTGGCCCGGCCCTCTCTAACACGTCGGAACACAAAAGGCCTTGGCAGCCTCATCCACGGTGTGCACTTTGACACCGCCGTCCACTTCAATGTCCTTGGGGCCGAATTTGCACCCAAACAGCTTATCTGGCCTACAACGGTCTTTCCCCGTTTCACTGTTCAAGGCACGTCGCAGCAATGCAAGCGTAGACGAACACACATTGATGCCTACAGCACCGAAGCTGCCTATCAAAGAATGCTCGACGTCCTAGTTTGCAAGGCAGGACCTTTGATCTTTTGCGCCGAATTGTTAGTCACCACACGTGGCAAATGTGGGCCAAAACAGTCGGGTCGTGCAAGCTCCCCCGGCAGTGTTTATCCCTAATATAATGCTAACCGTCAAGCCTGGCGTGAAGAAATTTCTTTATGAACCTCCATGGACGATTGCATGTTCGACTGCAAGCGCATTTCCCCGACAAGTTGCCTTGTCCGGATACTTGGCCCGCACCGCTCGCACCTTCCTGAGCGCAAGCTGGAAGCCCTAAAGCAGGTGGCCACAACTCTGGGGGCAAACCAGGTGATGCCAGCTGTGGCCGCCATGTATGTCCACAGGTTGGCCCGTGTTTCTGGTTCGTCCTGAGGTGGAGGTAAATAACTGATCACAAGGTTGGGGCCGAACCACTGGACATCATAGGGCTTGATTAACATGGCTTTTGTGCTGACATTGCTGAAGCTTCACATCAAATCAATGGCTAAACTGCTGCAACCATCTATCAACTGACCCTTCTCCATCAAGTGACCTACCAGAGCGTAACATCTAAAAACAAGCGTTCAAGAGTTCAACAGGACATCCTCCGGTTCATCAAAGGGTCCTGGTACTGCCTCGATGTTTTTGGGTTACAGCCATACCTTTTTAATCGGCTTGGCCTAGGCAAAGGCACATTCCAGGTCGAGTGCATTTTGTGGGGCGTCGGCTAACCGCACCAAGGCGCACTTGCAGCTGCCTAAAGCTTCCCGAAGGCATCAGCACCCGCTTCAGTATCCTAGATTGTACCCAGATTTCCCTGAGGGGCATGCTTGTCCTGCGACCCACGTCAGGCAACCACAAAGTTGAAACTCGCAAGAAGAAACTAAACAACCTTGGCATCCTGGTCTAGCTCAGTACGTCCTGCTGCCGTGTGGCTGTTGTGCCACCTCCCGTTTGCTTGAGTTACGTACCCTCAGTGGTGACCGGGATTGTGCAGCAGGCAAGTGTCTCCATCTGGTCCACCATGAAAGACTGACCGCCTTTGCCAGGAACCACCGTCATCACCAGCGTCATGTCAACCTACAGCTGCTCGGCTGGCACGTCGCCAGTGCTTGAGGCATGGGAAATTGCCCCGCAGGAATGTTCTGAATGAGAACTGCCAACAGAATTCCTTGGCGAGCGTTCCATTGGCCAAAATACCTGACCTGCTACGAAGCTGCTCCAGAATGTACACTACCGCCCAACCAACGCGGCCAGGCCTGGTCCAAATACGGCAGCACTTGCCTGAGATGCAAGGGCGAACATGTTTGTCCAGCCTAATTTACGCTTCCGAATGCCTGATGCGAATCCGTTCGACTTACAAAGATCCAGTTGATTCTAATTGCCCGAGCACATGAGAATGTGCAAGTTTGGCACAAGACGACCCGAAACTCATTGCCAATCAGTTGGTGAGACTATCACGTCGACTGATGAATCGGCCGGCACAAAACTGCGGTGGTGGCCTGATCGCAACATGAAATTGGTTGAGTCAAATACCAGGAGTCCGATTCGCTCGGCCTGTCAGCTGGCAGAGAATGGTCAGCTTCGAGGAGACGTGGGCCAATCGACCACAAAGAATACGGTGACATGTATGGCTGAGAGCAGCTCTGACGGATCCCCTTCGAGCATAAGCTTGATTCACAGTTTGTGCCTGTCGTGTTCTCAAGTGGGTAATGTAGGCCCGCAAAACAAACAAACTTGTGAGTCAAACTGGCAAAGCTTCGAATTCGCGACCAGCTTGTTGTCTTTTTGCTAATGCCTACTATATCGTGTATAGTATTCGTTAGCATCGGTACAGACCTGTAAGGGCTGCATTACCTTGGCACTCAAGCGGCAATTTGCTTGTATGCCTTGCCCCTTTTTCTTGCTCATGTTGTTCAAATCAGGGAATGGCTCTAGGAATGCATTATTTTTCCCTGCCCTGTGACAAGTTGTTGCCAAAGTTCAGGCAATTCTGACAGCCATGCTTCTAATAAAACATTCTCGCAAGGCTAATGTTCAACTCAACACGCTGTACATAGACTGTTTCAATGAAGTTCGTGGCTTGATGCCCAGCAAAAACACACCCTTCAGGTAAAACATCAACATATTGCCCGACCCTTCCAGTGCGACCCCATCCAAGCTGCTCCAGTGGCGTGCCCGGGCTCAAAGCCAGGCCCACACGCATGCCTTGGAAGCCATTGGCTCAAAGCTCTCCAGCGGGTTCTGCAAAAAGCGCGGGATGTCGACTCCATAACAAAAATCCAAATTCCCGGGCGAGGTCTCATCTTGAATTTCAGAACTTTGTAGGCTCATCGAAGCAATCATGGGATTCCGGCATTCACATCCCTCGAAACACAAAAATCGTACCCAGTGCGCAAACCCGAAACCAGTATTGAAACATTTGTTTGGGAAAGAGTTCCAACCTTTCCATAGACTAACCGGGGCCATGCATAGGAATGAACGCAACGACCAGCCAGTTCGGGAACAGCCCGATTCGATCAGCATGGAGCTCCGCGTTCTTTGGCCACTGGGCAGCGACAGCTTTCAAACGGGCACACATGAACAGTATGGCTGTGTTGGAAAGCAATCTTTGCAAATATCCGTGGGGTAACGAATGGTTCGCCAGCAAACGTCGAACTGCACATGGGCATGTGTCAAAACACTGGTACCCTCAAAATGGTGGGTGTCATGTTGGCTTCCCTTTAGAACAACCCCTGGGCACCCTCAAAATTAGCACCCACACGGCTCCCTTAACGCCCTTGCTCACCAGCGAGAGTGCATCAAGTGGCTTCATGCCAAGCAGCCGTGCTTGCGCGCGTTGTCGATGACCTCTTGGGTCTTCCCTGGAGCGAATCATAAACGGCCGAATGGTGTGAACAACACCCCTGCTTCTTGAAGGCGGCATCTCCTGCAGTTGCAAAAAAAGTATGCGCAAAGACCAACCCCGAAACAAAGGCCTTGCAAGACCATGCCTCAAGTCACAAGCTCACTGCCAGGCCGAATCTTGCCATCACTACCACTTGGCAGAGCTCAAAGGAATGCGGAGGGACCTCCCTACGAACTGTTTGGGAGGCTATGCAAGTGGCTAAGCAGGTAAGAGAGTTGTGCGGAAGGCCTCTGGATTCCTTTCAAACCGCGCGACCCAAAGGCTTGCCCAGCCCACGTCACCTCGCGGCTCGGTGGTTTCGATGTGGAAAGTATACTGCGTCAAGACCTCCCCGGTGTCCTCAGGTGAGTGCCTCCAAATTCGACAAGCCTTTCACAGCCACTCGCTTGGTAGACAAGCTTATCCTTACCAACCTTTGAAAGGAAGTGAAAAGAAGATACGCACCACAGTTTGACAACAACCTGCTGTGGAGTTTTGAGTGGCTGGCCTTTTTTTGCGGGCACGGACAAATCATCTCAACCCGAATCAAATGCCATACACATAGGCATGGCAACAAATGAACGCTTACGCCACCATTCCTGCCAGCCCAGCTAAACAAGCAATGCGCCGCCCAAACAGTGGATATGCAGTCTACTTCTGCACCTCTAGAACTGAACGGAAAGCAATCCAACCACTCAGGGGCCTCCATGGAAAGACTCAAAAAGCCATCGCTAAACAAGGATCTCTTTGTGCGAATTCCGAATCCAGCAACCTGTGGGCCCAGCAAAGTTGTCACTGAGATCTTGGATGGGATCTTCAGCTTTGATCACAGTGTTCCCGCGAGACCTCTGCAGCTGTCTTTGGAATAATGTTGGTGCGCCACGCTTCTTGGTGAACAAATGGCCCAAGCCACCAGCACAAACCGTCTAAGCTAAATATCCCCCCCGCATTCATCTGGAAAAGCGGACATGTTGACCGCATCTTTGGCTGGGATAGTTTCAGCTATCTGCTTCACTTCGATTTGGTGGTTTGGAAGTTTGGGGGGTGGTGCGCCATTTACCCCCTACAAGAACCAGGGGGTCAAATCGCCAAACACCCATTCCAAAACCGCAGTTGAGGCAATAATATGGGCACTTCGGGCAGCAGTTGCGAGATATACCTTGCATGGTATTGCCACCCTGCATGGCCCAAAGACTGCGAACTTCTGGGGCATAGCTGGATGTGGTGAAGCCTGTCACCTGAGAACAGGCAGCAGGGAGGGGAACAGGTAAACAAACACCCGAAGAAGGAAACCATATCAACAACAATGACACCAACCCTACTTCACCAAATGCCGAGCCGCCGGATGTTTGGCCATGGCCGCCGCAATGGCCTACCAGGTAGGGCCGACAACCGACCCATGGAAAGCGACACGGCCGGTGGGAAAGCCGGAGCCTCCACGTGCTCGTCGGGCTTGTTGATCATCATGTGGCAATCGAAGAACACCTCGCGGCTCGACGTTGCCATTTGACTTGCAGAATCACATTCTGCCATTGTGGCGTCAACGGCACATGACCCGCAACAGACCATGAAACAATGTCTTGACGCGGCTTCATCCAGTGATTAATGCCCCTCACCGTGCATATGCCGAATGGCGATTCGTAGGGCGGACTTGCAGAAAAGTGTTCCCAGAAAATTTTCCCAACGATATGAACAAATCCGGGTGTTTGGTGACGCAAATTCAGGCGTCAACCTGGCCCGAGGCCCAACAATACCAACCTGTCATAGAGTCATAGAGTCACAACCACGACTGAACGAGTGCTTGCGGTAAGACTACGACTTCCCCAATGTTGCTTCTTGTGCTTAGGCTTGTTTGTGCGAACCCTTTCTGTATCACTACCCCACATTGAAGACTCTATGTCAAAAACCTTCACAAGCGCCCTAAGCAATTAATTGAGGGGCGTTGCATGGACGCCGCATCAAGGCGGGCCTTCAAAATCCACTTCTAAAATCATCTTCAGGCACCTCTGGCCTCTGAGACTCGCAGGCTCAAAGGAACAAATCGCTCACTGCGTGAGCCTTGGGCAGGTGACTCCGAAGCTTTGCGATGACCGCAGGGCCAAAGGAGATGGCAGGCACCTGAGCCAATGGAAACCCAGGATCACTCCGGGGGTCCCGATGGGAGGGCCTCCGTGAATTGGGGGAAGTCGAGAAAATGGACGAGCCGACATTGGGGGAGGGGCGGCAGTGAAAGCGCGTAACGCTTGAACAAAAGCTTTCTGCCACCAAATGCTGCTCGAATCTGCGTGGGTGAATGCATGGCTGCAGTACATGACATTCATGTAGCATGTCCATTCAAGAGTGGGGTCCAGGTGATGCTTTCACTTGTGAGTCGCACTTGCGTTGGGCTGCCATTACAGCTCGCCATGCAGCTAGCCACAATTTGACCACAGGTACGCTAAAACCTGCTGCAGCCAAGCAATCGAACTTGTCTATGAGACCCGAGACAAGCTGCCCTAGGAGGACTGGAAAAGCAAACAACTCATTTGCCTTAGCTGCGAACAAACTTATAATGTTCCCGCGGTTTCGTGTGCCTTGTGTATCTTGCAACCCCGTCGCAAAGTGGCCATCCATCACATCCAAGTGCAAGTAGTCAACTCCAGCGCGCAAGGCCCGCTGCGCCTGTGAAGGAGGGCCACGCACAAGCTATGCGTCAGGGTCGAACCCTGCAGCAGGAGACAGATTTTGCTTCATGGCCACTCTCAAGAAAACTGGCATGGCGCAACTCAACTCGGCCTTTCCCCTCCAATGAACAAACGCTAGCCATTGGGCATCAGGCGGTGAGCTCCAACATCCCCCAGATCCTCGCCTCTGCGGCGAGGCTGGCCGTGTCGCAGTCCAGGACCTGAAGCCAAAAGGGACAGGGGCATGAAGCTCGCTATGCGTAGAAAGCAACGAAGGTTCTGCGGAGCCTTGCAGGGGAACACAGGTTGGAAGCAACAAACTTGGAAGCATCGCCATGGAACGACACAGCTTAAGATTGGAATGGCGCGCCTTGAAGCACTGGACCCATGATTCCAGCCCCGCAAAAGCACAAGGCAATACCGACGCAGCCTGACCAAACTCTGTGCCAGGACAACAACGGGCGTCACTACATCTGTTATCACAAAACCGGTCCGCCACACACATTGAATGCAAAGAAATGGGGGCCTTCAACAAAGTAGGCGTGCCTTTGTCAAGCCGTTCTTGTAGACCAGATACACATACAATGCGAAGCCTTTGGTGCTCAGACTCTTGGGCTGAGTTCGAATTCGGCTGCCCTTGTCATTTCAAAATGCATGTAAGAGGCCGATGCGCCAATGCGAGCTGCACATTTGTGGCATCCGGAGAACCTCAGGTGACACTCTGGTGTCGACAGCCGCGGAGCAAATCTGAGAATGGCAATGGATGGAAATGGTAGGTGGGGCTTTGGTCAACTTTCTTTGACAATCAAGCACCATGGCCCATGGCCTTCGCAAAATGCTCAAGTATGAGTTCCGGGGGTATTTGATAAGGGACCTGCGCTAGGTAAACTGTCTGACTGTCTGACGCAGAATTGGGTCAAGCTTTGGGTAGATTTCAGAGGTGGCTTTTTGGTCCAACCAGGTGGGCCATCGCAACTGAAAGCTGCTTGCACAAGTGCTTACCCGTTGCTTGACTTGGCTGCGCAGCTCCAGCGGCCCTGAACCACAAGTTGCCCATCTGCAGGATGAACCACCCAAGTGGAATGCAATCTCCCCTCAAGGAGTGGCAACTACGAACGCAGCTCTGGGTGCAAAGCATTGGCTTGCTTTCTGCTTCAAAGAGAACAATCGCCTCATGCACCAACAAAAGCCGAATGGGGCCAGCCGAAAGGAAGCTTGAAGAAGTGCCACACAAACTTGCTGAACATCGACAATGAACCCACAAAGCCCCTAATGACCTTGCAGAGAGGCTGGCAATGAATCAGCCCCTACAACACCTTTAGCTTCATGGTATGTTCTCCACCCAAGTGCCTTCGGATTCGGGAAGTTGCGATGCAGAGCAAGGTGCGAGCCGCACAACGCCATGGCGGCAAATGTCTAAAGCTTCGGGCCAGGCGAGGAACCGAAGAACCTTACCAAGCTCAAGACACAGCTTGCCCGTACGTTCTCAGAGCAGCTGCCCATGCGGGCCGTCCAATCAACATCGTGTCTTCCTCTCAGAAGATAAAAGCGGGTCACCAAGATCTGAAGAAAAACAACTCTTTGGGGCATGTCTCTGCCCCCTGCCGGCATGCAACAAAAACGGACCAGGCAAGCCAGTTTGACGTTTCTGGCATCAACATGTTTCAGCTTGGCATGAGCGACATAGAAGCAGGACGGAACAATCGACGAGACTCAGACAGGTCAATTCCAGCGAAACTCAAAATCTTAGGGCACCTTCTACTAGATCCTCCAGTAGAGAGGTTAGAATAAGGGTACCCTTTTTCTGCAGTCTATTTTAGTAGGGGAACCCTCCCCCAAAAAAGGGTAAAAGGGCACTACTGGGGGACCTAGTTCTACCTTGGGGCTGCCCCTCCGCCGCGCGCGAAGCTCGCCTCGTCCTTTTTCTGGTTGCATCGAGGTGGCCGGGATTTGATGATCCGGGCGTGGGAAGGTTCGGCCAGGCAAAGGAAGTCCGACCCTCCCGAAAACAAACGTGGAAATGCACAGGCTCCACTTGGAAGACTGCTCTGAAAGGAGTCTGTGCAGTTCCATGTTCGCCTTTGGGAGGAGCTGAGGCTTGGAGTTCGGAGTTCGCAGTTCAGCCTGAGGGAAGTGTTCAGTCTGCCTGAAGGAATACAGGAAGCAAGATTTCAGGAGCTTGTTGAAGAACCCCGTTCAAGATTCAACCGTCCTGGAATGGAGCGCCCTGCCCGAGATGCTTCTAAGTATCATGTTGCATACATAAAGGCCACCAGCACAAAGCACCACAAAACAAGTGTGGGCAATACGTGCGGCCAATGGAGCTTCTAGACCTAAGGGCCTGTTGCAAGATTCCGCGTAAGTTCCGCTCAAATGTTCAACAAAACCGCGCACAGGAAACGCAGGAAACCCATCCCTCACTTCAACCAACTGTACATCCTAGAAAGAAGGCATCACAATGACCTGAAGGTCCTCATGTGTTCCGGCGGTACCCATCACTGCATGGCATAAGTTGAGACACAAAGTGTTGATCTCTCAGCCCCACTCTCCTTGGCCGACTGAGAAAGTCCTGCCTGGAACCTAGAGACCGGGACAGGTGAAGGCAGCCTGCGTGGATATTGTGTTTCTGACCACTCGCCGAGGAGGGTGTTGCGCGGTTGACGCGCTTCAAAAGGCGGTGCAAAGAAACAAGGCAGTCAGCTGCAGCAAAGCCTCCTTCCGCCATGCCCTCTCACAGGAGCCAAATGCCTTTATTATACTGGGAAAGAGGGCCAAGGCGAAACTGGCGAGTAATCAGCCGTCCAAGAGAATAAATTAAGCGCCCTCACGGCGCGAGCCACAAGCGATATTTGTAGGTTTGCCCGGGCCCCTCGCTTGACAGTGCCGCACACGGTGCGCTGCCCGTCGTGCTGGCGAAAGCAGAGATCGCAATGCCCTGTGAAGCGAGGATGTATTTACAACTATGAACAGCGGGGAGGTTCAAAGATTTCCCTGGTCCTAAGCAGTTCCAGCCAGACCGCCATAGTTAAAGGCAGATGCAGACATCTCGCAAGCCTGCTGGACTGTCACAGCTTTGATCCAAGGTCAGAACAGAGAAGGTTTGTGCCCGGACGGCAGGCCACCTTCCGATTCCATCGAACTCCCACCAAAGAAGCCAATGCCAATGCACCGAATTGGCAAGCACTCCTTGCTCAAGCTTAAGGCAAAATGCCCCACAGCCGGGAAAAGGAAGAAGGACATGGGCCTGACAAAACAAACATGCAGCGACTGAGGCTTGATCCACCAGCAAGAGCCAGGAGAAGGGTATTCGGCACGCAAATGGTGCACTGTGACTAAATTGACGCTCGCCGGAGCAGGCCCTCGAAAACACTTGCGTCCTAGGCCCGTTCACCCTGCTGTAAGCCATCCGCCTATCAATGAGCCCAGTTGAGCTTCCAACAGCGCAGAATTCAGATCGCCGAACCGGGGCTGGCGGGACTAGGGCACTTTTTGAGTCAGCCACTTGTTTCCCATGGCTGTTCAGGGGTCCTCACTCCTGAGCGCGCATGCACGGGGCTAGCCAGGCTCACTCGCCTGGAGCAAAACCCAAGCACCAGCAGGGAGGCGCGCCTGCAGCTCGTTACTGTAGGTTTAGGGTCGGATGTGAAATTCTCGTTGAGAGTGCTGAGACGCAACAACATGTAATAATCAAGGGGTGGAGCGTCACAAACATAGCAAGAGCAACAACCCTACTTTTTGGAACAAAAAACGCAATATCGACATAGAATTCAATCCTCAAATTGGTGACAAAACATATATGCTCCGGTGGCCGCAACCCTTTGGAACATGTTGCCGTGAACCTGCAGGCGGCCCCTGCGGCAAAAAAGCTGCCCTTAGGCAGGCCACTGTGCTGCGTAGGTCGGGGCAAATTGGGGCGAATCAAGTCCGGCCGAGCCGCCACGTCCATCCTGAAGGGAAACAAGCATATCGGAGTCAGAAACGGAAACCAACCTCTGACACATGTCCAACAGGAAAGTTGAACTCAATGCTGGTGGAAAGGCGCTGAACAGTCCCTGGCCGAGGCCCTCGGCTCCATACTTACCTGCGTGGAGCTCCCATGAGCGGACGGAAGCAGCTTCTCGGCTTGACCTTCAGTGACATATTTTTCTGTGAAGAAGCGGGAACTAAAGGCACCGCCAAGTCAAATTGATGATGTTCGATGTTCAATCTAAAAGAACAAACTAACTAAGCCCATAAGCGCACAGCGCGGGCTTCAAACTGACCCCCGGCCCCGACGCAAGCATGAGGTACCCGCAGCTATGTGTGTGCCTGCAAGGCCAACACTGTACAGCGCTGCTCTCTGTGCAGGGCATCCGCTTCCACCATCAGATTCACCCCTCCAAAAGAAACTTTATGTGGCAAGGTGGTGGAAGCAGACTTGCGTCAGGACTTGCGTCAGAACTTCTTGGGTTGGCTTGCTCATGGGCAGTCATTTCACTGACTTGTTGCCCCATTGCTGAGAGCAGCTAGTGCTTTCCATCACTCAGGTGGAGCTGTGACGACCCCTCATCAGGGCGGCGCGGCACACTCCATCCGAGCTCAACTTTGCCCTAGTGTATGCAAACAAGCGGGCAGTGAAGCAGTCGAAACATCTGCCAAAAAGACAATCGCGTTAGCAAGCAATCGTCTGAGCTCTCTTTACAAACTGAACAAATGCATCTCATTGAAGAAGTGCATAGATGCTGCAAAAAGGATTTTCAAGGACGTTGTTCCATTAGCAAAGAGATTCCTGTTCAACGCGAGCGATATTACAAGATCCTGGCTAAACTGGCCCCAATCAGCAGCAACCACAACGTCAGGTCGTGGGTCGTCCCCGTGTTGGAAACAAGTGCAGGTGCCGCTTCACTGGACCTCCTCTGTTCATGACATAAAGCTTCATACGCCTGCCAAATGCGCTGTCATGCTCTCCCTGGCCCTAAAGCGTTCAGCTGCCCACTTGACACGGGAACGTCACATCATGACGGATCACCAGGTCAAATCGCCAGCGCCCGCGAAGACGGGGACGGAACCTGCCACTTGTCCAACAAGGCTCCTTCACTCGGGTGTGTTATGTTGTTTCACACGGGCTGAACCTGGTGCCTGAACCTTCAAGACAAGGACACGAGAAGCAACCAAATCCACCGACAACAGACGGGTGCACTTGCGCGTGAAGAACCAACTGCGGACATGGATGGCGCACTTGAACGTGTGCGGGGTCGTACCATCTGCGAACATGGACGCACTGGGGAGCAGGCGTGGGTTCTTTGCGAAGCACGGGGGTTCTTACAATCTGCAGCGGGTGCACTTGAGACCCTTAAACCCTTAACAATTGCAAAACATGGATGCGCCGGGGAGCGGGCGCACTCGAGCGCGGGTCCTTACCATTGGCTGACATGATGCACTGGGAACGGGTGCGCTTGAGCGTGGCCTCTTACCATTCCATTTGCAAACATGGATGCACTGGGGAGCGGGTGCGCTTGAGCGTGGGCTCTTGCCATGCAACTTCCCATCTGCAGACATGGATGCTCTGGAGGTGCGCTTGAGCGTGGCTTCTTACCATGTGCTGTCATGGATGCACTGAGAGCGGGTGTGCTTGAGCGATGTACGGGGGTTACCTTTTACTGACATGGATTCGCTGGGGCGCGGGTGCTGCAGACATGGGTGCGCAGAGGAGCGGCCTGAGGAGCGGCTGTGCGTGAGCGTGGGTTCTTACCATCTCCATGTCTTGTTCTTACCATATCAGCGGATCAGACAGCCCAGTGCAGCGGATCAGCGAACCAGCGAACCAGCGGACCAGCGAATCATCGGATCGTCGGATCATCGAAGCAGCGGATCATCGGATCAGATGGCCCAGCGGAGCGGATCAGCAGACCAGCGGATCAGCGGATCAGACACCCCGGCGATCATGAGTCACCTTCGCGAGCCTTTGCGACCCTCGCAACCTTCGCAACCTTCGCTTCAGGAAATTTGCGGTCATTCTGGGCGTTCCTGCGCAGGATCTAGACAACATATTGCCCCATTCTTTCATCTGGTGTGTGTGGGGGATACAAGCGTAAAAACATTGGGGGTGGCAGGCCGCGGCATGGTCGCCCAATATGTCAAGAGCAGCCCCGCATTCGGGGAATCCGTCCCCCCCACAACGCCCGTGCGTCAGGCGCAATGACATGCGTGTGCGCCGGAGGCAGTGTGGTCCCCGGGAAAGTGGGCGCAGCTGCAAGCCACGCCCCAGCGTTCGGCCCGTCTGCGAGCGGAGACATCGCTCCGCTGGGCGACGCTGGAGCAAAACGGTCAAGGCGTCAGCCCACGCCGCCGGCGCAGCGCGGGCAGCACACAAGAGTCCCAAGCCCCCATCGCGCGCGGGGAGGAAAGCAAGGCGGCGAGCCTGTGGCCAATCAGCGCCTCGTTCTTCGAGGAACGCCTGCAACGTCAGCCATCGTGCGCCTCCGCGTAGGCCGCCGGCTGAGAACGCGGCACAGTGCGGAGCAAGTGCTGCGTTGGAGCTGGGTTGTCCCCGCGCCACACTTCGGTCAGGTCCACTGTTGCACCCGTAGCATCTCCAAAGCAACATCGCCAGCAGCATTCTTGGCAAACATTGATGCGGGTGATGCCGGGGAGGTTGCCCATGCTGGTGAAAGAAAATGCCTATAATACGGGCTACGAAGTGGAAAGGAAAATAGAAGCACACAATTGAAGGGAAAAATGAAATTAGGAAGAGAAGTGAAGGAAACTGAAGGGAAATGAAGGGAACTGAAGGGAACTGAGTGGAAATGAGTGAAGGACCCCCCTGCATTATATTTTTGAAATGACGTAGGGGGGGGGGGGGGTATTTTAATTTTTTAAGGCTCTGTGACCTGCAACGCAGACAGCCGAGTCACCCGGCACACTGCCTCCTTCACCGGGCCGCGGGATGCTCAACGGTGGGACCTCCTACGCCGGGCCTTGTGAAGCGGCGCGCAGGGTTCTACGCCGGGCCTTGTGAAACGGCGCACCGGGCCGGCGCGCCGGGCCCTACGTGGGCCCGTGTGACCCGGCAAGCTCTCAGATGCGTGGCGCGGCGCCCCGGGCCGTCCGCTGCGTGAGCCCAACCCAGCAAGTGCTTCGCGTTCTTTGAAGCGCTGCAAAAATAGAGAGAACAATTGCGGACACGCTGCCTCCAACCCCCTTTTCAGCCAAGCTTTTTCACCCACCGAAGGCAGGATCCATTACACTCGCAAAAGCCCAAGGTAGAAGCACTGAGCTGACTGAGCTGTGGCCCACGCCTGCAGCATCCTGCAGCACAGGGCAAGGAGCTGGCCCTCCTCCCTGTTTACCAATTCGCAGAAAGCAAGCCAAACTACTTGAGACATTTAAGGCGTTACTCTCAACAAGCTGCTGCCGGAGATCCTATGAAAGAGAGACTGTGCATGCTCACACCTTGGGGCAGCCTGCCTTCTTCCTGCTCCACCGGGCGCTGCCCCAAGAGGCTGGCCCTCCCTGTTTGCAAATTACAAATTCGCAGAAAGCAAGCCAAACTACTTGAGACATGGGGCGTGGGCCACAGCTCAGTCACGGCAAGCGTCCTGGAACCTGCTTTTGGCGGGTGAAAAAGAAGGCTTCAGGTCACTTGGCTGAAACGGGGGTCGGCCGGCGCCAACGTGCTTCAACTTGATTTAGTGTGTATCAGCCGCGCCCGAAACCTTGCTGAACGCTGCTGGGCGGGATGTTCAAGTTGGGCTCACGCAGCGGACGGCCCCGGGTGCCGCGCCACGCGTCTGAGAGCTTGCCGGATCACAAGGGCCCGGCGCCGGGTCCCGCGGTTGAGTGCGCAGGTTCACAAGCCCCGGCGTGGGACCCTGCGCGCCAGGTCATGCAGAATTCGGCAGATTGCAGTTGCGCGTGCAGATGTCTAGTGGTTTCATTGCTTTGAGACACTCCTCCTAATTGCGCGATTTACGCACCAACTGAGACGGAGCGCACGGAGCGCACGGAGCACTCATAAGCGTGCAGGAACGCGCTCGTGGCCGGAGTGCCCGGAGCGCAGTGGCTGGAGCGCATGCCACCGTGGCATCATCTCCAGCATGGAGCGCGGGCCCGAGGCCAGCGAGCGGTCGGGGGTCTTTTAAGCCCAAAAACCTTTTATTTTATTGACGTAACCCCCCTCCTCAATTTGATTTTTAAGGTGGGGAGGATAGTGAAGGACATGAGGGAAAGAAAGCTTGTGGGCTTAACATCTGAAAATCTGTGTGGCTTAACGCGTTAAAATCCTAATAGCTTAAAGTCTGAACATCTTAATGGCTTACCTTTCCCCCGCTAAGATCTATTCCAACCTTTCCCCCCTCAGATATGTCCCCCCTTTCCCTCCCTAAGATCTTTTCCCCCCTTTCCCCCCCTCCCCAAAATAGTTTCCTCTTTAAAATCTTCCCCCCCACCCCCAAGATCTTGTGTTCCCCCCTTTTGTTGCTAAAATCTTTTCGACTCTTCAGAAGATTTTTTCCCCCTTCCTTTTGCAAATCTTCCCCCCCCCCCTTCCCCCCCCCCCCCCCCCCCGCCCCCAAGATCTTGTCCCCCCCTAGATGGTGTCCCCTTTCCCCCCATAAGATCTTCCCCCCTTTTGTCCCCCCAAGATCTCTTCCCCCCTTCCCCCCCCCCGAGGTCTTTTCCCCTCTTTGTCCTTTAAGATCTTTGACCCGTTTTTTGTATTTCTTCTTTCCGGGGGAGGAACAGATCTTAGGGGGGAAATGTGGGAACACATCTTGGGGGGGATCTCCCTCCCCCCCCCAACGTCTTCTCCCCCCTTCCCTTCTTTCCCCCAGATCTTCTCCTCCCTTTCTCCCCCTAAGATCCCCCCCTTTCCCTCCCTAAGATGCTTTCTCCCCTTTCCCCCCTAAGATCTGTTCCCCCCGTGCCCCCCCCCCCAAGATCGGTTCCCTCATTTCCCCCCTAAGATCTGTTCCTCTCCCCCTGAAAAACGGGCACAAAGGGTCAAAGATCTTAAAGGAAAAGAGGGGAAAAGATCTCGGGGAAGGGGGAAGATTTGATTGACGTTTAAGCCGCAGAGCTTGGCCCATGGTTCCCGCCTGTACCTCGCCCACTTCAAGCAGTCGGCTTTGCGCGATAAGCCTCAGCCGGGTGCCACTGCTGAAATGCTGAAACGCGGCTTACAGTAGAGGTCACGCCATGGTGGGTGTCCGGGCAAAATGCTGCACGGACAGTTGATAAAACGTACCAGGCCATGAGGCACCAAGAAAACTACAAAGGGAGAGGGCCAACTTACATAAATCAGCTCGTTGGAGGCCCTGATGGGAAAGCCATCCTGAAGCACGGGGCGAAGACACCTGCAGCCCTGAGAAATGCAGAAGGGCTGCACTTGTAAAACATTGTTTCCCTGCTTGTTTACATGGCCCTCCCCTTTAGCCTTGCTTCGCCTGCCAAAAGGGGAGCTTTGAGCTGAAACAAACCAGCGCCACGCCAATCTTTACTGCGGCTCACGGTCATTCTCACGAGCAAAAAAGCGCATACTTGCGGTTTAGTTATGGCCAAGATAAGTAAAGGCTGGCCACAGCTGCTCAATCTGGCTGACCGCTTGAGGGTTGCCAAAAAAGTATTAATTGTCGACAGCAAACATCCAGAAACCACCTTGCTGCAAAAGAAAAGGTCTCTGCGTCAACTAGGGCTCTTGCTGTGCGGGAAGGGGCAAAGCTTCCAACGACGTGTTGATGAGGATTGACCTCGGAAAGCTCGCATATCAGGTGCTTATGCTTCAAACTTCGGGCAACCTAACTACCGCGAAACAATAAACAGGCCGCAACGTTTGGCCTAGATGAGGTGGAGACAATGTCTTGGTCACCCGAGCCCCTTTGCGTTTGAATCATCCCAGAGCCCGAGTCACAACTCGGAGGTGCACCTGAGCGGGACAAAAGCAGTCGTGGAGGCTGCTTTTAGAGTGGCCCGATGCTGCAGGGTTTTGCGCGCGGGTGAGGTGCACCATAAGTAGACCCTTTCGGGATAACCCTTTGCACTTAGCCACTGCGCCAAATCGGGATGACGCTCGGCTCTGCCAGGTGCCCAGGCGTACGCAGGTTGCCCAGGCTGGAAACAAGGATGGCGTCCAGTCAGATCTGGCACTGGCACTTGCTGCAGACTATTTCCAATGGCTCAACCATGAAACTAGACCCGCACACAAAGCCATCGCATGCCTGAAACTTGTGTTTCACGTGTTCGCTGAGAGTGACAGCCAGGCACCTAGTCAGGCATGTGTGAAACGACAAGTTGTCTCTTGCGGTTGCTGCAACCCAACAAAAGAACCATGGGGCAAACTCAAGCATCATACTTGGTCTCAAGATTCCTCTAGGTATCTCCAGGTTCATCTGAACCTCTCAGCTCAGCAGCGAAGGTTCAAGGTGAATCTTATGCTTTCATCTGGCAGAGTCAGGCCCAACGAAAGACGCGTCAATCCTGTCGCCCGCCCACCCGCTCTGGCAGGGCCTGACACGGCCTTTCGTTGCATCATGTCCTGACCCGCTGCAGGAAACAGTGGCGCGGAGTGCCAGGATTGTTGGAGGTAGTGACTCAACTCAGCATGGCTGAATTATGATCATGCATGCACCTAAGGCTGTGGCGTAATGATCGGAAACGCAGAAGCGAACCTCAGGATGCAGCGTTGAGCTCGGCACCACGGATGCAAAGGCCAAAACCCTGCACGCTCAGTGCCTACAGTCACGTTGCTGTTTCATCAGTTGTTGCATAGTTTGGCTCTTGACTTCCAGGTTCGAGAACACATCATAGGATCGCAGCTGCCACAAGGATGCAAATCCAATGAGGGGCCTTCATCTGTACATAAACATGCTCCTTTGCCACAAACACATGTACCGCGTGCTGACGAAGTCGCCTTGCAGCAAGCCCGTGATACAAATCTATACCAAATTTATGCCAAGAATTTGGGCGCTTGACGCGAAGGTTGTCTGGGCATGGGCTGAGCTTGGGCGTCACCATGCTTGGGGGCCTGCTCCAACTGCAAAAACAACACCTCAACTCGTGAGCCCAAATCGGAACAGAACAGATCCCCGCTCCCCTGGCTCCGCTGCTGGGATTCGCTCCTCCCCTGGCAATCGGATCCGAGAAATTGGCCGGAAGTGGAAAGATCCACGTATTCCGCTGGCACGCGTCTGCACACATGCCTATCATGCAGCTGGTGATAGGAAGCCTGCTTGGGGATTTCATTCGGAAGTATTGAGCTCATGTCTCTCCTGGGCGAGCCCGTTGTAATTTGCACAGGCAACACAAACAAAGACGCAGAAGCAATGGACAAGGCTGTGAGTGAGACACAATGGGAAAGACCTTGTGGATCGATATTCGGCAACTTGGCATGGGCAAGTGTGCTGACCGGACTTGAATCGAAGCAGCTAGCTGACAGCCCCCTGATAACCCTAACCGACTTTTAACCAATCATGATTGTCTAGATGTCTATAGGCAGGATGCCTGCCAGCCGTGACCAGAAGCTTCCGATGCGCCACCACCACCACCACTACCAAAGATGCCAAGAATGATTCATTGGAGCAAAGGTAGGCAAGCCCCACGAAGTCTAACACATGACAATATGCCTGGTGTACAAATAGCCACATGAATAAGTGTTCCTTTTCAACTGAAAGAGCTTCAATTGGTGTTCAGCTCTCCAAGAATCACGAACCATGTTAAGCCGCGCGCCTCAGAAGAACAAGCTAGATTCAAACAACCAATGCGGCGCTTCAGCATCAATAAGTAACATTGCCACGATCATACATGACGCAAAGCAGGGGATCCCATGCATCAGCGTAACATTCTGTGAGAATCTAAGAGGCTAAGGCACATTATGCAAAGCGAGGAACTCATTGTTGGGGAACAACCAGGGGCAGGGGGGGTCCCAAAGAAATTGCAGCATCGACGTTCGACGCAGGGCACCCTCACTCGGTTGGAAGCGGTGCCGGTTGGAAGCGCTGCCAAACGGCTGAGCATGCGATCTGGCTAGTAGGCACCAAGAGGCGGGGCCAAGAATAGAAGAGCTGGTGCCCTCTAAGTGGTCCTGGAAAATCTACGTGCATCCCATTCCCGTCCAAGAGCGTCCTGCCTCGAGGAGTCGACTGTTCCAAGTCTGATGCAGTTGATGCTTGCGACCAGGTCTCAAACCTCAAGGGGAGCCAACTTAACATCCCTGGTGTTGGCTGCATCAACCATAGGCCCAATCAGGCCAATGAGCCTAAATCTTGACGCCTCCTTCCCCCAGCTCGTTACAACCCACCTGGCAACACCAATTATCTTGACGCTGCGGGGGTCCAAGTGACTGTTTGGAGGAAACAGCGAAACATGGTCCGGCTACATGCTTCAGATTGCTTCAGTCTGATCAGGGCATCTTATGTGTCATACTCATGATCAACATCCTGCTGGGGGGTGGTAGGCCCTGCTACTCCATCAAGTCATGACCTCTTCCAAAATCCAGCACACCAACATCAACACAAACCACTAGTGTCCTTGCCCGGCAGCACACCTTCGCCACTACTTGGGGAGCCCATGATGCCAGCCCGGGTTGTCAAAACGGCGCCGCCTGGGTCCCGCACTTGGGGCTGTCGTGCCTCTCAAGTTTCGGCTTGGATGCGGCCACGATGGCAGCATCTAAGGCCTAAGTGAGCGCTAAAGGAGCGATGGGCGGAGTCTGCAAACTGGCAATGCTCGCATTGGCTGCTGGATACAGAAGCGGAAGGATGCTTAGGGGCATCTGCAACTGTAAGGGCAAGATTTCAGGAACACCAGTTTGGCTCTGAGACGGCCAAAACGCCCTAGGCCCTAAGACCCTCATAAATCCTTCCTGGGCTGTTTGACAACTCCCAGCTGCCTAGGCATACGAGAAACACGTTCATGATCAAAGCATTTCAAAGAGCGAGGCCCCCATCACACAATGAAACAACACAACTTCAAGCAGGTAGACTAGTTGGAAGCAAGCAAGCTGCACAGCAAAGCGCATTCCTCCGGAAGCACAGAAGCTGGAGCAAAATAAGATTCTCTGCAACCCGCAGCTGGAGCAAACCAATCGCCCTACCGTCTGAAGGCAAAGACCGAAGATGCGTCACGACTTTCCTAATCTTCGGTCACCATCTGAGTCCCTGCCTGCGAAGCGCGGTCTGCTTGAAGCCGCGCCAAAGCTTCGAACATGGCACCTGGAGCGAGGGCCAAACGCATCCTGCCAGGAAGAGCATCAAGATGACACCAGAAGCAAAGAAAAACTGTGGGCCTGAAAGAGGTGGACGACTAGACTATACTCCCCTTACCCTTCCGCTAACATGGTACCTGACTGGGGCTCCCGAAGCTGAACTTCCAGGCACCTCCCACAACTGCTGTATAGTGCTGTTGCTGGGAGGGCACCATCTAGGTTTGCAAAAAGCATGCAAAGTCATCAGAAAGCCGCAAAAGCAATTAACACGTGAGGTTTCCCCTGACGGACAGCTGGGCACCATCAGTGAATGTACAACTGTCAAGGCAGCGCTCGGTTTGGACACAAGCATGAAAAAGCAGTCGTTATGCACTTCATGGTTGCCATTCCAAATGTCGCAAAACTGTCGCAAACACACGCGGCCAGTCTTGCTTCAAACATCAAAGTTTGACAAACCTGCCCTGTCAAAATGCAACTTCGGATTCAGCAAGGCCGCTGCGAAGCACTAAACAAATACTTCTCAAATCCGATTGGCAAGGGGGAAAAAAAGCGGGCAGGATTGCAAAGGACTGCATGGGGGCTCCAAAAGGCACGCCGCAAATTGATAGGAAAACTTCTTTGATCAGCTGATCCGGAGCAAACATTGCAGCTTCCACAAAAGCCTACCTGGCACCGGCAAGGTGCCTCCCACACAAACGCGCCCAAGCAAATGGCCAATGACTGGGGGCGGTGCTGGACGGCGCGGCCTGCATCAGGTGGTCCGGAGCTGCAAGTCCCGGGGGAGGAAGCACCTCGCAGCTACAAAAGGTCTCCCAGCCGAGCCCAAACTTCGGGCCTCTCAGTGGAGCAACTTTTCTCGCCTAGCGGCCTAGCGGCCCAAAGTTTCCACTTGAACATGGTCGAGCATGCCTTCGCGTGTAGCGAATTCCGAAATCCAGTGCAGCAGGAATTGTCTATCTTCAGAGTGGGCGAGCAGTGCTCTGGATGCTAAGGGTAAGCGCGGGCAAGCAAAGGTATGTCCTGCCCTTGTCCAGGGATACATCCAAACAAATGCAGCTTACAATAGCACCACTTCTGAGACGCAGGCATTTTATCAACATATTGTTTTCCGCGCTGACATTGCATCTTTTTCCCTGACTGATATCGCCAGGAGATCCTGCACATTTGGAGATGGTCCACCTTCGTGTTCTGGGATGACCTATCCGACATGAACTTCTCCCCGAAGCGGCCTCCCAATGCACAACTTGTGCTCCGTAGCGCGGCCCACCAAAATCCCTAAAAGCCCACCCAACCTACATACTAGTGCAGTATGCGGATGCCTTCAGCAGGTCCAACCATAGCAAGCAAGAAACGATATGCCACTGCCTGGCTCACACGTCAAAAGGTTTCGCCAAAGAAAGTAAAGCTCAAGTGCGTGCAAGCCTTGACGCCAACCAAAGGCCGGAATTAGTGCACGGCTTACATACTTAAGTGGGTTCTTCATATGCTGCGTTGGGTGACGTTAATGTGTTTCTTAAATTCCCCCCCCCCAAAAAAAAACTAACAATAAGGACCTGAGTGCTGAAATCAAGTTGATCAGCGCAAGCCCTTCACAAACAATGGAACATTGGCTTGGGAAACTGTTGCGCAGCTCTGCCCAGCCAACTCAACGCAAAACACGGGCCGGCCCCGGGAAAAGCAACAAAGCTTCTCCGAAGCCAAGCTCCCCCGCCACGCCGTCAAAGGCAACACCTGGCAAACCATGGTGTACTGTGGTGTAAGGACCGGGATGTAGAACAAAATGTAAAGGCCGGTCCGATTGATGCCATAAGAGGGTGCATACAGCCAGCTCTTTGCAAATGTGGAGTAAGCTGCCCTCGGCACAATGCACGCATGCGTAGGGTGCATGGGGCTCTTCTGTCGTGCCTCCAAACGAGACAGCCGAGCATCTGTGCACATATATCGCCAATCCAGCATGCAAGTTCAGGGGGTCATCTTGGCTTTGAGCGAACTATGGCCCCTGCAAGGGAGCAGCGCATGCCCTGCAATCCAGGTATGTGGTTTCAAACAACCTGGCGGGGGCTTGCAGCAGGAGGAAGGATTTATCAATTGGTAAGAGAAGGCGAGGCACACTGCAAGCTCTTTAGTCTACAGACTCATCACAACAAATACCCAATTGCTGCGGTGGGCCAAAGGGATATCTGTCCAGACACGGTGCAACAGAAAGGAACCAGTGCCTCATGCAGACCCATATGTTGGAGAACAAATGTGAGAAGCACCTGTTGCAATACTCGGTGTCAAATCTGCCCAAAAAGAATTTACGGGTGACATCAATTGCTTCCAAGCCACCACGCTGCCGATTCAGACTGCCACTCATTGGACCTATCTCAGCCTATCTCCGTTTCTTGATTTCTGTAAAAAGAACGGAGACTGCCAACGGAAGCTGGCTTAGCTGCTCAGTCTGGTCAAGCTGCAGCAGCACAGTGGATGCACTTCAGCTAATATCTATGGGGAGGACCATCTTGACATATCTTGACACCCACTTTGGCATCCCCCGTGTCTTTCAAAGAGCTTCAAAGTCCATCCACCTCAGCCGGGTTGCGCGCCTTCCACGAAGCTAGCCTTCATGGCCATGCTGCCTGAGCGCTTTCGAGGCCAGAGAGGCGAAGCAATGCTCTGGCCCCAAAAAGCCCAGTTCGCCTCATGTTGGCGACGAAACTGCAGATTGATGTCAGTGACCGCCCTTTCCTCTCTGCCTGCACCATCCAAAAGCGCACTGCACCGAACAGCTGCAGCGGCATAACAATGATGCCACTAGATCTTTCAAAGCCCTAGAACTCTGCGACTTCTCGCGAGGCCATGCGCAGTTAATCCCTTTCCCCTTGCAGAAGCTCGTGAAAGCCAGGGCCCGGGCAGGAATAGAGCCAAGCCACAGATCGCACGAAGAGTTCTTTCAAACAGCTACAAGCCGCCGTGAATCCAGCGTGATCAATGTCCAAGGCAAGTCATGCAAACGACCTTGATAGTTTCCTAAAGCTCCACCAGTGCCGAAGGCTCCTTTCTCTCACGAGACTCGTAAAACAGGTGACAAGAACTCGGGACTCCTCTCCGGTTGTGACACGGAACACTGCCTTTGGTCTCGCAGTGCGTATGCATCGAGGAAGTATTGGCGTTTGTGTTCCTGACTGAAGCTGTCCCTTGTTGACACTTCATCCAGCAAGATCAAGTCGACTGAAGTAAGCGCGTGCGGTTTCTTTGAAGGGTGCCGAGCTCCTGCTGATGCAAATCAATGATGCTCGCTATGTGAAGCTGAACTGTCCCCGGCCGCTCCTTTCCCACTGCGCCAGCTAAGCCGTCCATCACCTTCCACCCCCGTCCATCCAACAAAGTTGTCAAAGAAAAAGTTGAAGAAACAGAAAGTAAAACAGCAACATTGAATGCAGGTTGGCCGTAATACTGCGAAAACAGCAAGTGATGCGAAGAACTTGTTCTTAGCAATAGCTCTGCGATATCCGAAAAGGAGGTGGCCTGGCAAAGTCACTTCTTCTCGGCGGAAAGCGAGCTCATCAAGCCTGGACCGTTTGCAAACTCAGGGAAGGACCCTGCACCATCCTCCCTGGAACCCCGAGACCGGCTCACAAACAAGAGACAAGCTCCCATCAGCCAAGCCCAAGCCAAACAAGCCAGATGTGTAGGGAGGGCGAATCGCGCTTCAACATCACGCTAGCCGTGTTGAACAAACACAACGTAGTTTTGAAGATGCCTCTACCCGAACGCACGTCTCGATGGCAACCTCAAACTGTCTCATGGGTCGAGGTCCAACCTGCGGCCATCACCAGGCACACGGCCGCCGCGAAGACGGCACTCTGGGGGTTCTTGTCGTAGACTAAGCCTAAGGGCAAGCCCTTCGGCTTGCGCCACCGAAACGCCACAAGCATTCCACTCATTGGCAAAGTAACTCAGAGTAGCTTGGACATAACAAGATCGTACCAGGTGCTCCAGTTTACAGGTCGCATGCCGAGTCCGTCCAGCAGCTTGTGGCATGCCATCTCGACCCACAGGCAAAATGATTTCATATGTGGCAATGAACGCGCCTGATTTCAAAAGCACCGAGACCATTGCGCCAACTAATTACCCTGCTGTTCGCTGCGCCACTTCTTGCGTACCACCACTTCAGGCATACATGCTAAATGCTCCAAGGCGCCAAGCACAGCCGGGGCCAAGATACGGGCTACCGCGCTGGCCTGGCACTTTCAAAGGTTATGTGACGTCACAAAGGGCAGCCTCAGAGTTTAGGTGTTCAATGTCGCTCGTGCACTACGTGCACTAACACGCGCATAAAGCTGGGAGTTGGCGCACCTCTGCAGGGCTCCTCGTTGTGGGGGTTTCGTTCGTCGCGCTGAAATGTGGAAGCCACTGAATGTCGCACAAAAGCTTTGATGGTTTGCAATGCTTGGGGCCCTGAAGAAGGAACTGGCAACAAATCATCGGGCATAGCTGCGCTCTGCCATGGTCTACCCAACGCACTGGTCAAGTGAAAGTAAAGGGTGGAACAAAGCAGTTGGGGCTGCAACCCAAAAGCGGATCGCGCGCCTCTCCCGTTGAGTTTTGAAATAATGCTCGATGCCCTCACTAGTTGAGCATTGTGGAGATTGAGTAGGAGGGTTGTTCTAAGACCCTGGCACATATCCGGAATTCAGAAGAAAACTTGAAAAGGCCATGGATCGCAACTAGATTTCTTTAACCGCGACTCCTTCCAAAACTCAAACGGTGCGGATTGTTTTCCTTGTTTTTCTTTTTATGTTTTTGTTTTCTCTTTTTTCGTCGTCTTGGCCAGTAAAAACTCGAATCCCCCCCCCCCCCCGGCCGCAGCGTCCACCGCCAGCACCGTCGCTCGCTGCGAAGAGTTCCGCGCCAGAAGCGTCGGCACGCTCGGGGTGAAGGCAGGCACCTGGAGCAGTTCCCCGTGGCTTTTGTGCTTACAAAGGAAAGGCTCTGCAAGGATCAACGCTTATCAAGGAAAGGATCAACGGATTGCTTGGCGATTGAAAGCAAGATGTTGCAAGTTGTAACATTCTTGGCCGCCAACTCACCCGATTGCATTGAGCTGTCCACAGGTACACCCCTTTCGGATGTATACAGGTTTGGTTGAAGGGAAAACGGAAAATCCACTTTGGGCGTTCCACCAAACCGGATTGCTTCCACGAAATCCGCCGGCCAAGCAATCTTGCTCCAAATCCGAGCCGAGGCGCGCCGAAGCCATAGAGCGCCAGCACTGCTAGCAGCAAACGGGGTCTGCTCATGGCTAGCAGCGCCCCAGCCAGGCTCAGCAGACCTCACTCGCGGGGCTGTGATCGGGTTCACACGGCTGACATGCCACCTGTCCCTCCAAACTTAGCGCAAGTCCTTCAAAGCCTTGACCCCGTCTCAATGCTAAATGTTGGAATTGCCCCTTCCGGAGAACAGCTTGATCAGTTGACGCTCCGGAGGTCACCACACATCACCACCTCGAAACCATCTGGGATCTGAGCACAAACTGCACATGTTGATCCAAATGGTAGAGTTGGACAAGAACATGCAAAGCTTTGACGTTCCCACGATGCTACGAAAAGATACTCTTCGACTAGAATGTCATCGTGGGTGAGGTTGCATCATCCGAATCTTCTGGTTTTGCCCCGGCAAACGGGCCAGCTTAGCTGCAAAGGTAAGCAACTCCGTGCACCGCGTGATGGTACCAGCCCAACAGCGACTCAGTTTACATGGCGCACGCGCCGCCAAGCTGCCTGCAACCGCCATTCGCACAACTCCGAACTTCCGCCTTGCATGCAAGGAGCTTGGAGTTGAAGCGATGGAAAGTAATGGACCGGCCAGGATCTGTGACTCATCCCCTCGTGGACTCTTGACTGCAAGCATTCATCTTGTCAGGCCAAGGCATACATAAACTTAATCCTGCGCCATAAATAGCATAGCTCAAATTTGCGTGCACCTCAACTTTGCATGACCATCATTTTTTTGGCCAACTGGCGGCCATGTCTGTGTGCAATTGCTCATTGACAGGCAAATCGACAGGAATAGTGGCAAGCTACTGTAAGTCCTCAGTTCAGTACCTAGGGGGGCCTCAGTCACGTCCACTGAGGCAGTCAGTCCCCCCTCACCCTTAGAAATCTTGGGGCTGACCAGCTTTCAATATGTTCAATTGTTCTGCCACATGTGACCTGCTGTTGTTACCCTTCTTCTGAGCTGCTCAAACAAAATTGCAAGCTGACTTGGATAACACCCGGAGCGCAAAGCACCCTGTGTGTGTGCGCCCCCCCCCCTCCTCCTGGAATCGACAGCATGCTCGTCACCATGCAGTCACAGAACTCATATCAACATCACACGGTGGGTTTCAAGGGTGTCGGACGCTGCCCCTGCACATGGGTGTTTTGAGATGGGCAACTGCCAGAACCAAGATCCTTGCAACATAGACTTGGAGAAAGCTTCGGATTTACTCCGCACCTCGTGGGCTCAATGCCGTGTGGTTTCCGCCACTTTCAATCACTGCCGAGTTGCACCAGGCGGCGGTAAACGAAAGCGTGCGAAACGAAGACCTGGTCTGAGCTTGGCACACTCAGAGCCTTAATGTAGGGGAGTGAATAATAAAGGGCCCCCCCCAAACAAAATGGGGGGGGTCAATAGAGGAAACCCTAAAACAAAATGAGGGTCAGACTGGGTCTTCCCTAAGTAGTATTCCAGTAAGTATTGGTTAGTATTGGTTTAGTATTGGTTTAGTATTCTTGCTGACTGGCTTAGTACTGCTTAGAATTGGTTTAGTATTGGTTTAGTATTCTTGCTGACTGGCTTAGTACTGCTTAGAATTGGTTTAGTATTGGTTTAGTATTCTGGTTTGGTTCAGTAGTTCTTTGGAAAGGTAACTTCCTTTTCTGGGGAGACTCAGTAGTTCTTTGGAAAGGGAAGCCCTTTTTCCTTGCAGGCATCCCTGGCCCCAGTCCTATTTTTTTCTCAATTAACTCCCCTTAAACAAATCTCATTATTGGCTTCCTGGGTGTTCCCTGTACTACCCCCTTGAAAATTTGGCAGGGTGCAACTTTTAGTAAGGGCTGTCATAAAGAATTTGGGTGTTGGGGACCTCAGTTAAACTTCCTTTTCAGGGACTTCAATCATCATCTCCTTGTTTCTTGCATCTGACAGGCAAGACACCAAAGGTGGAAAGGTAGGGTGGTGGTGGTAGGTTGGGGGGGCGGGCGGGGCAGAGAGAGACAGGAGTTGCACTGAACTAGGGATTAATTATCAAACTTTTTTTTGGGGAATATTTTTCCGGATTTTTTGCCCCTCACAAAAACTTTTGTGTATTAACACCCCCTTTTGCTTTTCAGGGGTGTGAATAATTTTGGGATTGTTTTTGTGTATTGACTCCCCATTTATTATTCGCAACCTTGATGTGTGTGTGTGGGGTTAACAACGTCTGATCAAGCATGACAAGCTGTTTTGTCTGACCTGGTCCTGTGCTTCAGCCGAACATGTGCTTCTGCTAGGTCGGCTCGTCTGGAAAAACCGCCATCTGTGGTTCAAGCGCCTGGCATCCCCAAAGGTCCAGGAATGCCCAACGCACTGAACAGCCGCAACACGTACAACAAACAGCAAGGCCATGACTCCCAAATAACACCCCAGCCCGGCCCCTCGAGAAACCACGCCAATTGAGCTGTGGCGCCAGGCATGCCAGGGACGTGAGGACTGAACCCACCAGAGCCGGGCTCCAGCCAAAACTCTCTGAGCACCACACCTGCACAGGTTGCAGGAAGCCATGACCCACCTAGCTGCCCAAACCAGCCTGGCCAAAAGCTATGGTTGCCTATCCCAAATTTGGTCCAAACCCACATCGCAACAAATGACTTGGTATAAAGCATACCCATCCACTCTGCGCTTCAGCTCATTTGAAGCCCTGGGCTGCATTTCCCACGCA